TTGTTGACAACGCCGCCGTATTTGTAAATAACTTGACCAATAAATTGGATTACATTCATAGTAGCGAAAAAGTGCGTGCGTGCGTGCCGTGCGTTTTTCAAGGCACTTTCTTCCACGCACAACCACTATATTCTTTATTGCACTTGTAAGTTACATATAAAATAATGTATTTATAAATGTTGTCAGCAAAGGACTTATCTCTGACAGTGATCTCTTCCAGTCAACCCAGTACAGTATGAAAGCATTTCGTTAGCGGGCAGCTGAAGTGCTACAACTATTAATACATAAACAAATATACAGTTAAATAAAATATATAACAAAAAATTACATAAATACATACACTATAAATACATATAATACCTATCTACTTATATAATAAATGTTAAAATAAATGTCGATTGAAAAGGTAAGCTGAGTAAGCTAGAGTAGAGAGTCTAACATAGTGATAATTTGTTGTACCTACGAAAAATATCCTACAAAAAATATCTTTAAATGTACCTACAAAAAATATCTTTTAATGAGCATTTTCTTAATAAAAATATCTTTTAACATCTTTGTGACCCACTTGTAGAAACTTACGAACACCCCAAAAGGTCCCATACTTTGAAAAACTCTGGTATAGGTAAACTACTATGCATATAGGATAAATAATACTCATTTATGTATTGAGTTTACGCTAAATATCAGAGGAAAAATAATAATAGGAATCGAGTGATATTTTTAGTAGCAAGACAGTTTTATTATGGTGTCAATTCTGTAACAGACAGGTACATTAAAAAAAAAACGAACTACCAAGAAGTATTTACACTGTAACATAAACTACTTACATTGTACTCCGACCAGTCAATATACAGGCGAAGCCACATGTAATAACTAGTAATAACTATCAATTGTAAGTAGGTAACAAAGTATTGTTCGCCGGCTGTCGATTGGAGCATGAAGCCATTTGCGGTGCCTATTGTCCCCGGCTCTTAGCGACCTACATGCCCTGTTGAGAGTTCTATTTATAGGCAAAGGGGTATATTTTTATGTCTTAATAGGCAATGTACTCGACCTAATATTATTGTGGCTTGGATTTTTTTTAATGGATGATAATGGAATAGTAACCTCGCCTGCGCTAACGGTATATGCTGGCGAGGCACCAGTGAACAGTGATAGGGGAAAAATTAAAAAGCAGGTCAGTTAGCCTATCGTGATGAATATATCTGGAATTCAGCACAATGATTTCCACGTGAAAGTCGCCTGACAAGGCATATTGCTATCAATGGAGCTGTTAGATCCTCCTTACTCCTTCTCCACCACCTTTCCACCACCACCTTTCCACTTTCTTTACCACCGTATGCAGGTAGACATGACAGGATAAATATTGCTAGCAAAATATCTATTATTTATTCTAAATCCCATCATTTACAAATACTATTGACTTTCATGGGTGTGTATTCATCATCATTCATTAAATAACTGATTATGTGGGTGAAGAGAATTGATAGTAATGGAGTCTTATGGTCCCATTGCTGACAATATACACTGTTAGATCGATTTCCTCATGCACTTCATCAGTAAGATTTGCCTCTCGCGGGCTTGGAATGTCATCTGTACTCGTCCCTACAAGCACCCGGTGAAAATTTAAATGATTGGAGCTATTGACTGTACAATTATTAGAATCCCGAAAGTTGGTGGTTGGTTAGTAACAGTTTCAAAATGTTAACGACTTTAGCAAAGAAATGTGTTTTAATCAAATGTCAGTGTAACATTAGTTGACAATTACGAATGTCAAATTTAAGTCCAAATTCTATTCTGTCACTGTCAAAACAGCTTCAGATCGTTCACTAACTCATTCTTTTTATTTTTAATTCTTAGGTGTTGCCAGGAATTGCGCGTTAATCTCGGAGTAAGAAATGTATTGTTATTCCGAAGCTACTCCATGTTTATTAATAACGCTGGCAAAATGAAGTTACTACATGATTAGTCTAGAATTAACTAGTCCGAGTGTAAGCCCGAATTAGACTAGGAATATGATGTTTTTATTAATAAGACGGTAAAGACCATTTGCGACCAACAGCACTTACAAAAGGAAAAAAACGAGATACCCTTCTAGAACCCATCACGGTATATTTCTCGTGAAAGTCAATTCGTAGCAAGGACCAGACCTGACTATATTCCTACTTAGCACCCCCACATTTAACAATGGTGGGGGAACATGAAGGGGTTAAATACCGTTCTATGTCTCTATTAAAAACAAAAATCTCGCAGCCAAAGTGTAAAGGATCTGTCAAAGATGTGTAAAAGATATTAAAGTACTATATCTACATGGATTTGTTTGTAGCCATGCACGTGTGGCGCCTCGTTTTCTAGTTCTACAGCCCGCGATACAGAATGCTAGCGGTTTCCGACTCCTATCAAATTGCATATCAATCGACAATACTGCATGTGTAAATAGGATAATTATAAAATTACCTGATACAAGGATTATAGGGGGGAAGGGATTGTTAGTAATGGGGAGTTTAGTCCCCATTGCTATCTACATACTCTCTCAGTTCGACCTCCACGCAGTTCCCCCTGGAAACTATCGTGACTAATTTATCGTTTAATTCATCACGATTAGCTAACTGACGTGCCTTTTCATCCTCACCTATCACCTCTCACTGGTACCCCGCCAGTGTATACCTATAGCGCAGGCGGGGTAACCATGCCATTTTCACCCCTTAAAAAAAAAGATACAAGGATTATATACATTTTTTTTAATAGATGATAATGGTAGTGACTCCGCCTATGCTATCCGTATACACTGGCGGACTACCAGTGAGGGATGATATGTGAGAATGAAAACAGATTAAGTAGCCCATCCTGATAAATTCAACAAGAATTAGCCACGATGGTTTCCTGGGGAACTGCGTGGAGTTCGACCTGATAGAATATACTACTAGTAATGGGGCTATTTGACCTCATAACTAACAATCCCTTCCCCCACGAGCATACGGCTCACCTGATGGTAAGTGACTACCGCCGCCCATTATCACTCGTAACACCGACGGCATTGCAGGTGTGCTGCCGGTCTTTTAAAAAGGAATATACTCTTTTCATGAGGGTTATGTCGTATCGGTTCGGAAATACTGCTGCTGGAAGTTGATTCCAAAGAGTGGTTGTGCGTGGAAGAAAGTGTCTTGAAAAATACACATAAGGTAGCTGGAAAAACTAAGACATTAGAACACAAGCTTTTAACTACACTACACACGAAAAAATAACTTATTTGGACAAAAGAAAAATTGCTATTCTAAAAAATAGGCGTTCATAGTACCGCAATGTTCTAATTTTTTTTTTTTCACGAGGGTAATTAATTTTTACCAGAGGGAGACTTTGTACAAAAGTCGATTGCTTGAGTACCTCTGTCCCATTCGTGTTTCAACCGTGAAGCAGTTGTTTGCATGGCTGTGTTTCGGTTTGAAGGTGGGAAGTGGCGTGAATTTACAGGGTACAGAGGAATAACATCTGAGTCCTCAGGAATGGCAACGCATGGCGGGTATAATGGGCGAAACAGTATACTCTGTTATGTCCATAGTACTGCTCGTGTCTATAGGCGTCGGTTACCACTTTCCATCAAGTGGGCCGTCAGCTTGTTTGCCATTCTAAGTCGTATTAAAAAAAAAGGTGGCAAATATGCATACAGCTCGGCTGATCGTAAACGATCACTGTATGCATTTACAATATCAGTATATACTAACGAGGTACCAGTGAAGGATGGCATGATGATGTTAGGTCGACTGGCTCACCATTACTAATTCACCAACAACAACCAGAGGGGAGAAGGGATTGTTAGTAATGGAGACTAGTAGCCCCATTGCTAGTAATATACCCTGTCAGGTCGACCTCCTCGTGGTCGCCCCTGGAAACCATCATGATTGATTTATTGTTAGATTCGTCACGGTGGGCTAACTGACTTGCTTCATCCTCACCTATCATCCCTCACTGGTACCCTGCCAGCGTATACCGATAGCGCAGGCGGGGACACCATTCCATTATCATCCATTAAAAAAAAACAACAACCAAGGGTTATATTACTACTATATACTTTCCAGGGGGAACCGCGTGGAGATCGACCTGGTTAGGTATATCGCTAGCAATGGGATTTTTAGTTTCCATTACTATATTTTAATAGTTGAAAATGGTAACCATACCGTGCCTGACCTAGGAAATTTTGTAAAACATTGCCTCAAATACCTTAAATAACTAAAACGCAAGGATTTAAAATTTATCCGGCAATAACGTAATATTAACCAATTTTAATAAGAGGTTAACGATTCCTACATTATAATAGGTATGAAATTCCATGAAAACAGGATATTACGTTTACAAAGAATTCTGCAAAAAGTTTTGGAAAATATTTTAGTGATTATTTTGAAAGGTCAGAGTATCTTAATTTATTAATAAAATAAAATTGTACAGTTACGATGTCTGACATGGAGGTATAAAAAAAAATTATGTTAGGGGTTTTTTTTTTATAAATTTTGTCTGTCTATCAAAAAGTACATCAAATTGAATATGTTTTTTTTTTATCGGTGAAAATGGATTGGCAACCCCGCCTGCGCTAACGGGATACGCTGGCGGAAAACCAGTGAAGAGTGATAGATGAGAATGAAAACAGGCCAGTTAGTCCATCATGATGAATTCATCAGGAATTAACCATGATAGTTGCCAGAGGGAACTGCGAGAAGGTCGACCTGGTCGGGTATATTGCTAGCAATGGGATTCTCAATCTCCAGTACTAACAATCCCTTTCCCCAAATTGAATATGGTTATCACTGTGGTGTTCCTGCAGTCTGATTTAAAATCTAGTGTTTTATTTGGATACATCTTGAAGTTACCTTGTCGGTTACCACTTTTCATCAGGTGGGCCATCAGCTTGTTTGCCATTCTAAGTTGTATAAAAAATTCTGACATTCGTGCGTACGAAATAGCGGGGACAAAGGTAAAATGTAGTTTGAATTAATTTATCAGCCGACTTTAAAGTGTTTGTTTTTTATTTATTTGTTATCTTCTTTAGTTTTAACTCTTTCAATTTTAAACTAATTTGGAAAATTCTTATCTGAAAGTATTACAGATTGGTCCCATGAAATTTTTATCAACATTGGTACAGTAGTTTAACTTTTAGGCCAAAATAACTTATTTCGTTATAACTGCATTTGTTCTTTTGTGGGACACAATAATTATTTACAAATAAAAAATTTTTCAGGGTATCCAATGAAACATTGTTTTGGTTTTTTTTTGTTTTTATTTAGACTTATATTACAGGTCAGGTTCTTAGATCCTGGATGGGTACAGCATCTGAAAGAGAGCATAACATAGTATATAATAATTATTGCTTCTATTACAACAGTCATATAAAAAAAAATAAGTAATCAGTAAAATTTTGTCCACATTAACTTCAGGTTTCAAATGTCATAAGCATCATTTTAGATTTCATAGGAAAATATGTTGTACAGCCCTTTAGAGAAAACACTAGTGTAAGCTCACTTATTTTTAATATTTAAAATACAACATTTAAGTGTTGGCAATGCACGCAATACATCCATAGTATGTCCATAGGCATAGACAAGAAAAAAAAATTAAGTGTAGCATATTTATTATTATTTTAAATAAAATTTATTTGCCATCCTAACTTGCATTAAAAAAAAGTATACAAGTTAGAATGTTGTGAATGACTATTGAAAAGAAATATAATGTAGAATATATGTAAATTTTCCATATTGTTAATAATTTGCAAGCCGACATACAGGTAAAATATATATGGGGAATGTAAACCTCTTTCATCTAAAACTGGCTAAATTCTAGCAAAAACCATTCATTTCATTTCAATGGCAAACAAGCTGATGGCCCACCTGATGGAAAGTGATAACCATCACCTATAGACATAAATAGTAACATGGACATAACATACTATATGAATGTCACCCATAATACTCCTTATCCATTGCCATTCCTAAGAACTGCAATATTATGCCTCTGTGCCCTGTAATTTCATTGTCATATCCCACTCTTCAAACAAAAAACCCAACCCTAAAAGTCACTTTTAGTCATGAGCATATATTTTTGTATAAATCTTACATAATCTGTTGGCCTGTCTGGTGAAAAATAACAACTATTGTCTACAGACATGAACAGCATTATGCAGATATATTGCAGAATACATACACCTCCCAATAACATTCCTAAGGATTAAAATATAAACTTAATTGCAAATTAAAGCATTCTTATATGCAGGAGCAGATAATTATGAATAGACTCCATATCACATACTGTTTATGTACATATATGACAGTTACCACATTCAATGAAGTAGGCAATCCCTTTGTATGACTTGCAGCAATAGGTTAAACAATAGTATTTATAATCTATTTCAATAGAATGTAAAATAATAAAGTTTTGTTTGAATTACAGAAACATGTGTAAAATTAATAAAAAAAAAAAAATAGAAACATTCGATCAATTGAATAAATTTTTAGTTTATACTATTGGACATCAGCAGACTGACTCACAAAAGTACATCTTCTTTAAGTTGTATTAAAGCTAATATTAATGATTATCATTCCATGTAACTTGACCGGTGTATTTAATATTAATTCGTTGAAGTACTCACCACTCGTATCCTATGTCCCATAGCGTGTGCAGGCAGGTTGGACTTGAAACGGGCACGGACACTGCCAGAGTTGCCATGTGGGCGTGTCACCTTGCCCCAGATCGCTCGCAGCTTGGTCTTCTTACCCTTAGGTCCTCCAGCAATGGGGGTCCTCTTCTTAGCTCTGTATACATATACACATCGCTTGCCAGCATAGAAAACTGCATCGGTACGGTCACGCGCACCTTCAATCTGAAAATAATGTAAAATGAGAACATTAGTAACTTTACAAAGATGTTTTGATGGAAAATTTCTTAAGAAAGTTCATCAGTACTATAATTTTCCACATAAAATTCAGGTTTCAAATGTCTAAGCATCATTTTTAATTTCTTATATCATTGATTGTCAAAGTTAATAACTGTATTTCTATTTATGCAAATAAATGCCCGATTGATTGATAAAACACTCTTATGGGTGCTACAATCCTACAGGAGTAAAGAAACCAGAAAACATTTTTTGCTAAACATTATTAAAAAAAATTGTTTTATTACTCTCACTAGAATAATGATTTATGAGAAGTGAAAAATAAGAAACTACACCTCAAATTAATGTTATCAAATAATTATTGTTTCTTAAAGTGTAGCTATAAATACCATAGGGTGTTAAAAACAACTACAAAGGACAATAATATGTATGTTTATTATATTTATTGGGACTCCAGAGGTATGTTGTAACTTAAGGACAAAGCGCTCACTGACCATGGACTCTCCTATAGTAATCGGATGCAATTAAAAAACATCTAGAAAGATAGAAATTATTTTAAAAGTCTAAATAAAGTACTGTAAACAAACCTTTAGGAGAGCAGTGTTTTCGTGTTGGTTACGTAGACCTCGTTTGTAGCCTGTGAACACAGCCTTAGCGTAGAGCCTACCATGACGAGGTTTGGACGATACTTTGCGTACCGCCTTTGGGGGTTCAGCAGGCGCTGCGGGAGCAGCCTTTGGCGCCTTTTCCTTGGGCGCTTTTGTTTTAGGCGCTTTCGCCTTGGGTGCTGTGGAAGGCGTGTCAGCCATACCTAAAACAACTTTATCTATCAAACAAAACTCGTCTAAGAGGTTATGTTGACATCCAACACCAAAAGTAATCTAAATATATCCAAACGAAGATCGTCAATCCCTCAATCCGATATACGCTACAATAATTGAATATATTAGCACTTTGGGAAAATAGATATATTTACAACGTTTATTCAATAAAAATATAATAATTTGCAGACTAACCTAAACTTGTGAACTTTTTGGAAATGAAAGAACGGGGAAGGATGTTGCCAGTATTTTCCTAAAAATTATCCCACTATTAAATTGCAAATAATAGTTTTTTAGATTGCTATTTTAAATTTCTATATAAATAAGGCGTATTTTTTGACGTTGTATTATAAAGACATAAATATATTATATAAATATTATTAGCAGTTTATATATTCCGTATACTTTTCCTACTATATAACGAATATTTTTTAAAATTGTAACACTATTGTTGTTCGGAAACCAAAATAAATTTTCGTTCTAAAATTAATGTTCTTAGATTATAAGTAGGATTTACACGTCAAATTGTATTTGTTAAAAATAATTTACCGTTTCAATTAATAAAAAAAAAAGGTTTACTTTGATTTATTCAAATAAAATAAAATTATTAAATATAACCAAAACTCATTCTGTTATTTCTGTGACATCTTCACTTTGTAATTATCTGTAGCAATTTAACTCATTAGACATTTACCCTGATTTGGACCAGAGGAAAGGCGGGAAACTCGAATAAGAACAAGCGGGTTTTTTAAATTTTTTTTATTAATTTATTAAAACTATCTCTATCAATTCTTATTATTGAATAAAATATTATATTTTCACTAAATTCAGCGACAGTAATATAATTAGCATTCATGGGGAAGCGCAGTTGTAGAAAAAGGAAAAAAAAGATGACGATTCAGGTGATGTAGACCATGAACCTTGTAATGACAAGGATATATATTCGGAAGATACTTCTACTGACTCAGAATCTGAAATTGATAAGGCCGATAAGTATAAACCTTACTACGTCACAGATTATATTAGAAGATATCCCGAGGAATCCCCTGGGACAGAATTTGTTGTCTTTGTAGAATCCTCAGATAGTCAGAAAACCATTGGATCCAGAGACTTGCTCTCACTCTCCTCCTGTTTAAAATGATTTAATAAAGGGGTAACTTATCTTAGATCTATAAATAAATTCAAAATCGGAGTATACTTTCAAAAGCCAGACTTAGCCAATGCTTTTTTAAATAATAAAACTTTTTTAAATGACTACCATTTTAAGGCCAGTATTCCTGCTTCTTCAACAGAAGTTACAGGCGTTATTAGAAATGTACCTACAAATATATCTAATAAAAAAATATATACTATGATATCGAGTTCTAAGAAAATTATTGCTATTAAAAGAATTTTAAGAAAAAATACCTTGACTCATGGATATGTGTTACAGCCAACTCTAACCGTGACAATTACTTTTGCTGCATCTGTATTACCTGAATATCTGGATATTGGAGGTTGGCGCCACAATGTCACTCCATATATACCACCAGTTAAACAATGCTACTGGTGCTTGAGGTATGGACATTTAGCTAAATTCTGTAAGAATTCTGAGCGTTGCAGCATCTGCAAAGGTGAGCATAATTATAAAACTTGTACAACTGGAATGGAAAACGCTATTTGTGTACACTGCAATGGAAATCACACAAGTGTATCACCGCAATGCCCTGTTAAACAAAAGAAAATTGCTGAAAATAGATCTAAATTCAGACCTGCTTCTTTTGGAGATATACTTAGCACTGAAATATTTCCTAAACTGGGTAACAAACCTAAAAAATGTAGACCTAATTTCAATTCTAAATTCTGATAACAAGAGTTTATCACTTTTAATAGAAAGCATAATCAAACTTATTTCACTACATAACACAAAGAACACATCTATTAACACTAAAAGTGTTTTGAATGTGTTATATGATACTTTTGGTAATAGACCTATTTCACAAAATTCAATCGAGACCAATTAACTATCATACAGTGGAACGCTCAGAGCCTACTGAGCAATCGACATATTTTTACACAATTTTTAAATGAACATCATATTCACATTGCTCTCATCTCAGAAACTTGGCTAAAACCACATTACAAATTAAAAATTAAAGATTATTGTATAGAACGAAATGATTGTGGTAATAACCACAATGGAGTAGCGATTATTATACATAATAGTATTAGATATAAAAAACTTCACTCTTTTTTCGACAATTCTTTGCAAACTATAGCTATTAGTATTGAAGTTAATAATTCTTGGTATTCAGTTGCCAGTATTTACTGTCCTACCAATAGTACACCTAGTTTTACTAAAGCCAAATTTAAGTTCTTTTTGGAGTCTCTTCCTAAACCCACTATCATATCTGGGGATTTAAATGCACATCATACTATGTGGGGTTGTACCTCCACTAATACAAGAGGTAAAGACATTCTTGATTGTTTAGATGAATGTAATTTGGTACTATTAAATGATAAGCAAGTTACTACTGTTGGCTCTCATATTTGGAGACCCAATGGCCTTGATTTAACTATGGTATCCCCATCCATATCATTAAAATGCGAGTGGTCGGTTCATGATGATCCGTTAGGAAGTTATCACCTGCCGACTTTTACTAAGATAAACACAAAGAACTCTTCATCAACTCCGTCAGGTGAACAACATGCTCCTATAGATGAAGTTAATAAACTTTTGTTAAATCGTTTAAACCTACGTCTCGTTAATTGGGATCTTTATTCTGAAACTGTTAATCAATTACTTTTGGATTTCGAGTATGATGTCAATGAACCCTTAAACAATTACAATAGGTTCTGTAAAATTATTTTGACAGCTGTGGAACGTTCCGTTCCACGTAGGAACTTATCAAATAGCGGTGCAAATACTTCAAAGAGGCACAAACATATTGCAGTACCTTGGTGGAATAACAGGTGTGCGACAGCTGTCAATGATAGTAAAGCGGCTTACCTTAGGTTTAAACAAAATCCAACTCTCGATAATTACATAAATTTTAAAAGAGTTCAAGCTGTTAAAAAGTTAGTAATTAAGCAAGTAAGACAACAGGGGTGGCAGGAATTTTGTTCCAAATTTAATAGATTAACACCAATTTCCACTGTTTGGCAAAATATGAGAAAACTAAATTCAAAACATCGTCAAAATCATTTTAAAGATATATCATGGGTCAATGATTTTTTACGCAAATATACTCCTGATTTTGTACACTCACCTTTTGATGACAAACAGTTTAATTCTGTTAATTCATGCCCAAAATTTCTCACTGACCCATTCTCAATTGATGAAATATCCAGTGCAGTAAAATCTAGAAAAGATACAGCTAGTGGCCTTGATCGCTTAACATACAATATGTTTCGATTGCTGAATAAAATAAACCTTACTAAACTCTTACAAATTTTTAACGATTTATGGAAGGACTGTATTATCCCACCAGAATGGAAAATGGATTGTTTGATTCCAGTAATTAAACCCGGTAAAGATCCTACAAATTTCGACTCCTATAGACCTATAACATTGACGTCCTGTGCAGGCAAATTATTCGAACAATTAATTAAACAGCGTTTAGAGTTCTTTATTGAAAGTAATAGTATATTACCATCGAATCAATTTGGTTTTCGCCGTGGATATTCAGCGCGCGAAAGTTTAGCGAACTTCTATGTCGACCTTAGTACTGCTTTGAATAACGATGAATATGTTCTATCTGTTTTTTTAGATGTCGTAGGAGCTTTTAACAATGTAAATTTAACAGTTCTATCTTCGATTTTATCCTCATTTCTTCCAATGAAACTTATCGAATGGATTTATAATTTTCTTAGTAATAGAGAAGTGTATGTTAAAGTAAATAGTAAATTAATAGGACCTAGGTTAAGCTCTAAAGGAGTATGTCAAGGTGGTATTCTAAGCCCGCTACTATATATTTTATATATCTATAAACTTAATTCAATTTTAGGAAACAGTGTGAACAACTTGCAATTTGCCGATGATTTATTAATTTATATAAAAGGAAAGAATATTATTGATATGCAATTAGTGTTAAATGAGTCATTAAAAAGACTTGAGAAATATTTTTCTCTTCTTTCCCTCGATATTAGTTTAACCAAAAGTAAAGTAGTTGTTTTTCATCAAGTTCATAAATATGTTCCATTAATGAATATTATATATAATAATCAAACTCTTCCAACAGACTGTAGCGTTAAATTTCTGGGGGTAATTTTTCATCAAAATTTAAAATGGGATCTATACGTTGATTGCTTAGTAGATCGTGCTTTAAGAGCCACTAATATAATAAGATCTGTAATTGGTCGTAACTGGGGAGCTGATCCTAAAATTATCCTTTTACTTTACAAATCTCTTGTTAGAAGTAATTTTGATTACGCTTTCTTTTGTTATGCCTCAGAACATAAATTAGTAGAAAAACTCGAAAAATTCAAAATATGAATTTAAGACTTATTTTAGGTGCTATGTATACTTCTCCAATTATCTCAATGCAAGTAGAATGTAATTTGCCTCCTATCCTTCTTCGTTTCGAATACCTAAAACTCAAATTTCTCTTCAAAGTTTTTTCAGTTTCCAATAACCCACTCATACTCAAATTATTAAATTGCCCCATTTCTATGTTTTTGAATAAAACTATTGTCAATGATTTGAATTTACGAGATGAATATAACATCTATAGTAGTAAGATACTTCCTTGTTATAATGGCCTTTATGAGAGTAAGTTCTGTAAAATCAAAATTGTTATACGTAAAGACATAAAAGAAAAGCACGATATGTATGAGACTTTATCAGAATTTATTGACTACAGGCAGATATATACAGATGGTTCCAAAAATGCACTTAGCACTTCAGTGGCTTTTTACGATTTGTCAAATAGATTTGGTCACGGTTATAAAATTTCAACTTTGGCTAGTATTTACACAGCAGAAGCAAAAGCTATATTTTTAGCATTAGAATACATAGAAAAACAGGTACTATATTCGAAATGGATTATAATTACAGATAGTATGAGTGTTCTTATGGCATTAAAAAATAACACATTCATTTCATCATCAAACTACTTAATTCAAGAAATTCGTAATAAATATTATCATCTCTGTACTATATATGGAAAAGATATTATCTTCATCTGGACCCCTTCACATATTGGAGTGTTTGGGAATGAACAAGTAGACACTTTGGCTAAAATTATTAATTCAAGTGCTGCTCGTGTTCAAGATTTACCCCTTTGTTACTCAGATTGTAGTATTGGAATACATAAAATCGTTACAACTAAATGGGAGGAGCATTGGACTCAAATATTACAGACTAAAGGCAAATGGTACCGCAAAATTAATTGGCGTATTGGAAAACCGTGGTTCTGCAAAGGAAAGGACACAAACAGAAAATTTTACACCAATATTTGTAGATTACGAATCGGCCACGGACATTTCAACGAACACCTGCACCGAATGGGCATGATCGCTTCCCCATCATGCACATGGTGTAACTCAAATACAGCCCAATCTCTACATCACCTTTTTTTGATTGCTCTGAATTTGTCATTCAAAGACACATTATGTTTGACGAACTTAGGATTATCTTCAAAAAACCCGAAAATATCCCGCACTCAATCCCGCTTCTCTTAAGATTTCCTTCTTGTTTCAAAGCTATTTTCACTTATATTACTACAACATTCAAGGAGCTATAAGAATACTTTTATTGAATTGCAAGACAATGATTTTTTATAATTATTTATTTTTAATTTGATAAATCCACTGGTTTAAGAAAACTAAAGAAAAGATATTTATGAAAATGTACTTACCGGATTTGACAAATGAAATATTGAAGATTATGACAATAATTGAAGCGACATTAGAAAAATAAAATTCCAGACAAATTATCTTTTTGAAGACTAGGCAGCATGGTCTCCGACCTTAGCCTGTTCCAAACGGAACAAACGTACTAAAAAAAAAAAAAAATGATTTGGACCAATCAAAACAGACCACGAAAAGAGACGAACGAAAAATGGACTGAGGCTCTGTCAAATAATTAGTTTATATTGAAATTCAATTGCTTTAATGTGTATTAGGACTGCTGTAATATAATAATAAATTAATAATGGACTACCTAGTGAATATTAACTGGAACAAAGTTACACCATGCCTTGTTTTATTAGTACTAGAAGTAGTATTAGAGTGTGGGTATCGGTTTTTAACCTACTTTGTTCTGTGAATTATTGTATGAATGCTAATAATATTTGGGATGATACAGTTTCAGACTGCGCATCCCCAGCGGAAGTTAACAAACACCTCGAGTTAGGTCGAGACTTCTTAGCGCGGGGCCAGCTATCAGATGCCCTGACACACTATCATGCGGCTGTCGGTTCGTATAAACATTTGTATTAAATCAGTAAAAAAATCTCTATTCCCAACTTATTAAACTATGAAATGCCCCCAAAGTTTTAAGGTAACTACGATAGCTTTATGGAACCTGAAAAAACAACGTTGCCATTGTTTATGCTTCACTCAAGCTACAAATTAATTACATATAAATAATTATTATTTGTGTACATTTGGTAATTAAATTACTGTTAATGTTCTAAGGTCTCTTAGAAATAACACAAAACTTTACAATTATATGATTATTTACATTCAATTTATTGCATCATTTAGTAATGTTATAAAATTTCATTTGACTTTGAAAATAGATAAAAAATTATCTATTTAGAAACTTTAAACCGTACCTCTCTACAACAAATGGTCAGTGGGTAACTTTTTTCGGGTTTCATTATACAATTTAATTTATAGCAAGCAAACTGACTGCCTACTAGGTGAACAGTAATAACCAACACTTGAAAGAAACAGTGTCATGGACATGAGTATTGTTATTGGAGGTTGTACTTAATTGTAAAATAAAATTATCCATGCGTTGCCATTCCTGAGGACTCAGGTGTTATTCCTCTGTACCCAGTAAATTCATGCCATATCCCACCCTTCAAACCGAAACACAGCCATGCGAACACAGCTGCTTCACGGTTGAAACACGAATGAGACAGAGGTACCCAAGCAATTGACTTTTGCAAAAGTCTCCATCTTCATCGTGCCTCCAATCAAACTGTTTATGATTACTCTTCTCCATCCAAATGTTGCCTGGAATAGATCGCTCTTAACGATAAGGTCACCCATTGTCTTCTCATTGTGATTATTTCTTGTAATTGTTTATATTTATAATAGGTTTACTGTTGTAATCTTTTGGAGAAAACAATAAAGAGTATCTATCTATCTATAATCACTAAAGTAGTTAAATATGCATTAATTATATATTTTGTCAACAGAGGGCGACCCACATAATTATCTCACATACTTCAAGCGGGGCACAGTGTACTATGCACTTGGCAAAGCCAAGTTTGCCCTACAAGACTTCACTAAGGTAACAATTATATCTACTTATATATGCTTTGGTCAAATGATGTATTTAATTTTTATTCAATAACTTACTTTTAATACACCTTCAAATAGCAAACTAGCTGATGGTTCTTCTGATGGAAAGAAGAAGCCAGTGTATATTGTTAAGTACACTGTACCAGCTATACCCTTCATTCATTACCATTCATGATGATTAAGGGCAATAATGCTCAGTACCTGTAATTCTATTATTTTAAATGCAAAAGTTTTTTTTTATTCCACTGAGGTGGCAATCAAGCATACAGCTCATCTGATGGTAATTGGTTACCGTAGCCTATGAACGCCTGCAATACCAGGGGTATTACGCGCGCATTACCGACCCTGAAGAAAGCTTATTCCATAACCTGAGTGTTTGTGGGAGAAAACATCTCTGAAACCGCGTTGTATGTCACCGTTTAGGCTGTAGGGTATGAGGGTGAACTCTTTGTCAATGAGAAGCCGTACGATGGTAGAAAGTGGTTGTGGGCATCATATTGAATGTTTCTAAGCATGAATGATTTCTTGTTTTTAAACACAAAAACTACTGGAATGAAGTTGAATGAAATTTAATGCCCCCATGCATGCAAGTTATATCTTAACCTAACACATAGGATACTTCATGTATTGATTCACATAGACAAAGTAATTGGGTACAAATAGTAATATAAATATACTTAGCAAATTGTAATACATTCTATCGCTATTTCAAGTTTTTTTTATGCAACTTAGAATAGCAAACAAGCTGACGACCCACCTGATGGAAAGTGGTAACCATCGCCTATAGACTTGAGCAGTACTATGGACATAACAGAGTATACTGTTTCGCCCATGATACCCCCATGCGTTGCCATTCCTGAGGACTCATGTTATTCCTCTGTACCCTGTAAATTCACTGACCTTTGTCCCATGTACTGTAATACAGCCATGCAAACAACTGTTTCACGGTGAAAACACGAATGGGACAAAGGTACCCAAGCAAATGACTTTTGTAGGAATTCTCCCTCTGGTAAGTCAAGTTCCCAAAAGATGATTTATGTAATATTACTTTAAAAGTATCTTATGAAAGGAAATGTAATTATATGTTTTTTTGCATTACAATTTAGTATATACAAATGCTATGTGACTCTGACATTGAAGTATTATGAAATTGTATATGTTGTTGCAGGTGTTGGAGTTGAAGGCTGACTTTACGTCAGCGAGGCTGCAGAGAGCCAATGTCTACCTCAAACTAGCGCAGTACAGAGAAGCCCAGGAGGATTATTTACAAGTTGTAAGTATTTTGTAATCAAATAACAATATATGTAACAAAATTATACCATACATAGTTATTAGCTGACTCGGCAAACGTTGTTTTACCATATACATTATTTCGAGAATTATACATGAAAATTTCTCGTATTACAATTATTATATTGGATTGCCATCTTGCAACCTATAAACCTTGCCTTATAAAAATCGCGATTAAAGAACAGGCGTTGATCGTAAAAGGGTGAAAATTTGAAGTTGTATGTACTTTTCAATGCTAAATCGTATTAAAATTAAAATAAAAAATTTTGTCAAAGAAATATAAAAAAAAAATTTAGAGGTGGGTCACCCTTATCATTGAGGGGTATAAAAAATAGATGTTGGCCGATTCTCAGACCTACCCAATATGCACACAAAATTTCATGAAAATCGGTAAAGCCGTCTCGGAGGAGTTTGGTAACAAACACCGCGACATGAGAATTTTATATATAAGATATGATGTCAGTAAATCGAAGATATTTAAAAAAAAATTATATATTTTTTAATTTTTTTTTTTTTTTAATATCTAAGATCTATTATAAGAGCAATAGAAACCAATGCAATGTTCTTCAGAAACAACGAACATAGTAAATTCAAAAATTCTCATTATACTTGTATCTATAGACGAGTGTTTCCCTGCCTTTTTTGTACCATGAACTTGAACGTATCTAAAATTTTTATGCCCCCATACATAATTTTCCCCGACAAAGTTCACTTGACGACTCTAATCGCCCAGTTGATATTTTGATAACGCCAAACAAAATTATACCTAATAAATATTTACAGCTTTTTTTTATTTACTTTTTTTGTTAACTTTGGCACCAATATCTACTCGTAGCGTTTAAATGGCTTCGAACAAGGGTTAAAATCTCGCTTCGAGTCCATTTTTTAATTGCCCCCTTTTAACTATCAAATTGCCCTTCTGTGGAACGTGGCCCACATTGGGAAACACCGGTGTAGACCCTAAAAATAATTATTAGAATTTTTTACGTTCCACGATATATATATATATATAATATATATATATATAATATATATATATATATATTATATATATATATATATATATATATATATATCCATATTTAGAACTAAGAGAATTTTTCATTGTGCCTCCCACCAAATAGTTTATAATTACTCCTCTCCATCCAAAGGTAGCCTGGAAGAGATTGCTTTTAGCGATAAGGTCGCCCATTGTTTTCTCACTGTGATTATTTCTTGTAATTGTTTATATTTATAATAGGTTTACTGTTGTAATCTTTTGGAGGAAACAATAAAGAGTATCTATCTATCTATTTAATTTGTTTACCTACTTCTGAAATATGTATATACATAAATTTATATGATCGCTACCAGCAATTTCGGGTAACAAAGTGCCAATTCTAAACACGTCTATATTATTTCTTTAAACTCGACATTCATATCGGGCGTATTGCTCAAACATTCACTATTGCATGATTGCATAAAGCCTTATTATAAAAATGTTTCGGCAATGTTATCATAACGTAAATGTGACCAATCACATATTACACTTTCAAATTGTTGACATGTGCGTAGTGTCACAGAATTTTATATGATAAGTGTTGCAGTGGTTTTGTTTGTTGAAATATTTGTTTTTTTTTTTTGTATTGAATTATAGATAGGGCACACTACTTTTTTTGCTTTTTGTTGCCTGATCAGCATTGATCACTATGTCAATTTTATATTCCTTTTTTTTATCAATACCCGCCCACTATGTACTTTTTAATTGTTAATCTTTGTCAGGTGCCCACGATACAGGTTCGCCTAGTGTGGGGCCCATCGTGTCTGGTTTTTGTATCTTTGTTTTTTTATGAAAAAAAAAAAATATATATATTATACTTTTAGTATAATAAAGTATTTGGGTTTTACTGCCAACTGCTGGACATAAGCCTCCCCCATAGACTGCCCATAAACAACGGTCCTGAGCCACCTGCATCCACTGACTCCCTGCAGTACAGTTCAGGTCGTCACTCCTATGATCGTCATATCAGCCTTTAACTGTCCACTGCTGAACATAAGCGTCCCTGTTGAACGGTTTTGCCAGTAGTTGCCACGCTTGGCAGGCAGATTTGCAACTGCAGTTAGGCTTTGGAGATATTTTAAGAGATGCTGCTGCCCATCCCTCGCCCTCCCTTAGTCTATATTTGTGCTATAATAAAAAGTATATATATATATATATATATATATATATATATATATATATATATATATATATATATATATATATATATATATATATATATATATATATAACTTAGAATAGCAAACAAGCTGACGGCCCACCTGATGGAAAGTGGTAACCGTCGCTTATAGACATGAGTAGTACCATGGACATAACAGACTATACTGTTTCGCCCATGATACCCCCCATGCGTTGCCATTCCTGAGGACTCAGATGTTATTCCTCTGTACCCAGTAAATTCACGTCATATCCCACTCTTCAAACCAAAACACAGCCGTGCAAACACAACTGCTTCACGGTAGAAACACGAATGGGACAGAGGCACCCAAGCAATCGACTTTTGTACAGTCTCCCTCTGGTATATTACTTGTGTTCAAACTTAGAATATGTTATTATAACCATGAAATATTTATAATTTATACAGTTTAATATATGGTAGTGTATTTTCTGTGTTTGCTGACGCAACGGTCCAACACAATAGGTATTCATCGTACAATCAAGCGCTTATTGCAGCTGATAATCTATCATTATTGTGTTGTGTATGACGACATACATAGACAAACATCTGACTGGCGCGAACTGTACTTAGATATCATGTATATATATATATATATATATATATATATATATATATATATATATATATATATATATATATATATATATATATATATATATAATTTATTATCACGCCTTACTAGAAACTCTTTGAAGAGTATTGTTGCTTCTATTGAAGAAGTTTATATATTTTTTTTTTCTTTAAATATATATATATATATATAACCAATGTTTACGTCGAAATTATTTAATTATTTTTTATATTGTTATTTATGTAATCCAAAAATAGCGCTTTTTTTTTTAATTATTTTGATAGTAAAAGAGTTTTAATAGATATTATCATCGTTTACCAGAGGGAGACTTTGTACAAAAGTCGTTTGCTTGGGCACCTCTGTCCCATTCGTGTTTCAACTGTGAAGCAGTTGTGTTTGCATTGTTATGTTTCGGTTCGAAAGGTGTGATATGGCAGTGAATTTACAGGGTACAGAGGAATAACATCTGAGTCCTCAAGAATGGCAACGCATGGGGGGTATCATGGGCGAAACAGTATACTCTGTTATATCCATGGTACTGCTCATGTCTATAGGCGACGGTTACCACTTTCCATAAGGTGGACCGTCAGCTTGTTTGCCATTCTAAGTTGCATAAAAAAAATTCAATAATTATAAAATTTTTTCGCTACTTCATAATTGTATTTAAAATTTTGAGTATTCAGTATATGCATGAAAAATGCTGCGCTGCTTTATATATGTTAGACATAACTTTTTTTTTAAAGAGCGTAGTAGAAGGGAGAAGGGGAAGACCAAGGAATAACTACATGGGACAGATAAAAGAAACACTAGGTGTCATGTCGTATAGGGAGGTCAAGGATATGGCCTGGGATAGAACTGGCTGCAAGAAGATGCATGAATTGCTTGCACTGACAAGAGGAAACTGTTAAATGAAAAGAGACAGAGTATGCACATAATAGTTATATCATGAATAGTCTCTATTCATCTCACCTGATATCTATTAATAATTCTTATTACACAAATAAAAAAAAACTTAAGTTGGTGAATGTCTGAAGATGTTATTCACCTTTCACCAGGTGAATCGATAGCTCTCCTCGGTTTTTGGTAACATAAATAAAGAGTTAGTGTACGAACAAAGTACAATAGTAGCTCGTCTCCTATTCCAGAACCAAGCGGACCCGTACAACGAGGAGGCGATAGCGCAGTACCACAAGATAGAGCAGTACGTGGAGGACCTGCAGCTCGCGGAGGCCTACTACCGCGGCGGCGACCACCGCGCCGCCGCAGACCTCGCCTCGCGCCTGCTGGAGGTGTCGCCCTGGTCCGCACACCTGCGGCAGCTCCGAGCCGAGGCGTACATCGCGCTGGTCCGTACATACACACTAATACTCTCTCCTTCACACATGACATATTTAGAAGCAATTACAATGGTTGCCTGCACTTTAGTTGTATTTTGTTAAGAGAGGGACTGGCTGAAAACCAGCGCTGTGCAGCTGTTCACATTGCGCTGGGACACTCCCAGTATCAGCTGAGCCGGTTCCTTTTGCCTAGTATGGGACACTTCTTGTATACGTATTTTCTATATTTTATATTGTGATTGTGTGTTTACTGGCAATAAATGTTTTCTATTCTATTCATTAACTCACCAATATAATACCACTCACACATCCATAAGCTTCCAATAAACAACTTTACACACCTGTTAGATCAACCTCCTCCCAGTGCCCCCTGGAAACTATCGTGATTGATTTATTGTTTAATTTGTCACGCTGGGCTAATTGACCTGCTTCATCCTCACCTATCATTCCTCTCCAGTGCCCTGCCAGTATATACCGATAGCGCAAGCGGGCTTACTATTTCATTACCATCTCTTAAAACATCATTTTCCCCACACCCATATTTCCCAGTGTCGTCCCCTCCCCCCTTGAAACACTTATTTATTTAATTATTTATTCTTTATTGCACAATAAAATTTTGTACAAATGGCGAGCTTAATGCCATATGGCATTCTCTACCAGCTAACCATTGGGTGAAAACAGAAAGCGTAACGAAACATATGGGTAAATACTAGTAAATTCATTACAATAGACTTACTGATCTGCCTTCATACTAATTGCTTCGCCCTCCGCTGCTGCCCCACTATTGTATACAATAACATAAGCATGTGTACCATTTCATCTTTATCCATTAAAAAAATCCACATATCCCCACTCATGCATCCACTTGCACCCACACACCTACAATACACCTGCGGTAGCAAAAAGCTAAAGTCTAAGTACATTACAGTACTACATACACCCACACATACTCACGGCTCATATATCTACCTACGCATATATTCAAATCTGTCGTCACACACACTTCCACTCACACGTCGACTTCACTGCTGCACCAGTTGCATGCACTCACATATACACGTCGTGTAATGTTAGGTCCAATTTTTATAAATTTAAACTGTTTGAAAAAAGCTGAGTTTTTTTTGCCAATTCTAGGCTGAAATTACATTCCGAATGGGCGGTAATGAAAAAATTACTATTAAAAAATGCTTAAATTTGTTGTTGTGGTGTGCAGAACGACCTGTTCTCGGCGGTGTCGGACATCCGGTCGGTGAACCGCCTGCAGCAGGACTCCACCGACGGCTACTACCGCCTCGCCACGCTGCTCTACCAGCTCGGACACGTCAGCGACGCACTCAAGGTAACCACCCTCCCGTCCACTCTCCACTGACCACTATCCATACCGTCCTCATCATCATATTAGTTTTCTAACTGTCCACTGCTGACTATAAGCCTCCACCTTCAGGGACTTTGCCAGTAGGTACCATGCTTGACAGGTGAATTGGCAACCGCAGTTAGGCTTTGAAAATGTTTTAAGAGGGACCCTGCTGCCCATCCCTCGCCCTCCCTTAGTAGCCACTTACGACACCCACGGAAAAGGAAGGGGTGGCCTATTCTATGCCGGGACCACAGCTATCCGTACTATGTCAATACCAAAAGTTGATGGGCAATATACAGGTTTCCGAATACTCTAAACATTGTTGTACATACATATGATTTTTACATAATTATCATCCAAGCATTATTTTATCAAGGCAACGTTTCCTCCCACGAACACTCAGGTTGTGATTTGAGCTCCCTGCCGATGTTTTCCCAACAGACTACAGCATGGGGTTCTTTAAAAGGGGGTAAAAAGGTTTCTTCAGGGTCGGCAACGCGCGCGTAATGCCTCTGGTATTGCAGGCGTTCATAGGCTACGGTAACCGCTTACCATCAGGTGGGCCGTATGCTTGTTTGCCACCAAAGTGGTATAAAAAAAAACAAGATTCTTACCATACAGTAGAATATCATAGGTGTTGCATCTTTTTTATTTAATTTCTTCCATTTAAAAAAAAGGTTTATTTTTTAATTTATTTTTATTTGTTTATATTTTTTTTGTTTCCATTATAAATATATGTGTAAGTATATGTTGAAATTTTAAACAATGATTATATAAACAAAATATTTTCTGTTGTGTTTATTTATTTATTTATTCATCAGTACAAATATGTGTACATGGCGGACTTAATGCTAAAAGCATTCTCTCCCAGTCAACCATAGGGAAGTGTCAGAACACTCGAATGCGGTACTAGTGATTATTGATATACATACATACTAAAATTACATATATAAACGAATAAATATATATGAATAACAAATATACTTACACATATATGATATATACTATATTATACACGAAATTGAGAATAATATAAAGCACTTACTACTCGGGTAAAGTAAAAAAGTGAGCGTGAATGTTTTTTTGAAAGACGGTTTAGTCGCTAGTCTCTTAAGGGCATCAGGAAGCGCGTTCCAGAGTTGTGAAGAATGTAGGAGAAAAGAATTTGAAGCGAAACCAGTACGGTGAGAGGGGATAGATAGTTGGAGAGTATTATTGGAACGAAGGTTACGATCGTGAGTTTCAAAAAGATACTTGAATTTTGTTGGTTCTACTTTATCTCAAACTTCATTTTGGCAAAGTATCTAGTATCGAGCCCCTTAATTTAAGACGAGACTGCCTCTCTTTGCATCTTCTACCGCTTATAAAACGGGTTGTTCTGAAGAACTCTTCAATATGATGCCAACAGCCACCTTTCACCTTCGCACCGCTCGCCATCGGCAGGGAAGTCCATCCTTACACCTTAGACCCAGAATGGTCTTCCTGCTTCCATCTTCCCGCAAACACTCAGGTTGTGGAATGATATTCCTGTTGAGGCTTTGACTAGAGACTACAGTATGGGGTTCTACAGTAAGGCTTCTTAAGGGTCGACAAAGCGCGTGATATTCTCGGTGTTACAGACGCTCATAGACTACGCTAACTCCATTTACCATCAGACAGGCTGTATGCTTACTTGTCACCTTAGTAGTATAAAAAAAATTACCAAGTTATTATATGTATTACAGGAAATCCGCGAGTGTCTAAAACTAGATCCGGAGCACAAGAAGTGCTTCCCGTTCTACAAGAAAGTGAAGAAGGTGGACAAACTGCTGCTGGAGTGCGAGGAGCTGAGCGAGGCGCGGGACTTCACCGGCTGCCTCGCCAGCGCCAACAAGGTGCTCAAAGTGGAGGACGAGGTCACGCTCGTCGTCTTCGAGGCTCGCAGGTGGCTGTGCAGTTGCTCAGTCAAGGTATGTCGCTTTTGACATCATCAATTTTTAACCACCCAATGCTGAACATAAGCTTCTCTCTTGGGGGCCATGCCAGTAGTTGCCATGCTTGGCAGGTGGATTGGCAACCCCAGTCAGGTTTTATAGATGTTTTAAGAGGGATGCTGCTGCCTATCCCTTGCTTTTTCTTAGTCGTTTCTTACAACATCAATGGAAAAGGAAAGCGTGGCCTATTCTATGCTGGAATTACACGACTTAAATTGTCTACAATGTCTTTGGAAGAAGTATGAATAGGACCATTGGTAATCCTAGCTGTCCAATTGGTATACATTGATGAGCCACCAATGAGAGATGATAGGTGAGGACGAAAGCAGGTCAGTTTTAAGAGGGAACCCCGTGGAAATCGATCTAATAGGATATGTTGTTACAATGGTTCTGTTTTTTTGATGGGTGAAAATGTATCAGTGAAGGGTGATAGATGAGAATGAAAACAGGCCAATTAGCCCATCATGATGAATTCAACAGGAATTAACCATGATAGTTTCCAGACGGAACCGTGAGGAGGTGTCCCTGGTGAGGTATATTGGCAATGGTCCTGTTAGAGCCCATCACTGATAATTGTGTATCCGTTTGTCGCAGGAGGAGCTGTACACGGAGGCGCTGGCGCAGTGTAGTTCAGCGCTGGAGCTGCGGCGGGATGCCCGCTTGCTGTGCGACCGCGGCGACGCGCTGCTCGGCCTCGACATGTTCGACGACGGTACCACACTTGTACATTATAATAGTCTTACATTATAGACATATGGGCGGCGGTAGTCACTTACCATCAGGTGAGCCGCACGCTCGTTTGCCCTCTGTGTTGTAAAAAAAAAAAAATACAGTGTCTCCATACAGAAGCTACAAGAGAAGCGACTCAACTTTTTCATACAATTTTGCGTGATAAATAGTTGAGTGGTTTTTTATTATTTATTTATTATTCATTAGTACATATATGTGTACATGGCGGACTTAATGCTAAAAGCATTCTCTCCCAGTCAACCATAGAAAAGTGTCAGAATACATGAATGCGGTACTAGGAATTATTGATATACATACATACTAAAATTAACGAATAAATATATATAAATAACAAATATACTTACACATATATGACATACACTATATTATACACGAAATTGAGAATAACATAAATATATATTAATGTTTCCTTTATAAGTTCTTTTAACAGTCGAAATTGACCCCATCCCTAGTGACCGCGCCCCCCGGGTGGATACCGCCGCGCACAGACAGTCGCCGGCCCGCGGCTTGACATGCGCACGCGCACGCTCGTACCCGGCGTCGAGTTTGAACTCCGCTTCGTCATTAACCGTATTCGTGTATGTCGCGATACTCTCTTCCGTGTACAAATATATAGTATAAATAAGGAACTTTTTACCGCCCACGCAACACAACGATCACACTCGATCCAGCTCGACCCCACGACTTGTGAAGAAACCAAAATGGTAAATTCCCCTTCCGGGATCGACTGCATTCTATATTTTTTTTTTTTTTATAATTTTTGCATCTTAAAAAGATGCACAAAAACTTATTTTATTTATTACATAATTAAATATAGATACGTCAAGATACAGTGTATGCGTAAATATATAGGACATTGATAAAAAAACGGATCAATTAATTTGACAATTGGCTGACAAAAAGTTGACCCGATTTTTGAGACTCGATGCTCTATCTATATAATCTAAGTGTATATAGTGTAGTGTGCTCAACAACTTTATCTGTTACGTCTTCTCTCTTTCGACGTCGGACGAACAAACGGGGTGAGAGCCTCCACTCTTTTCGCATAAAAGAGCAATTTCAACCGTAAAAAAATTAATATTGATATATTACTTTTTTTTTGTGTAAATTAATAAACTACGCCGTTGAACTTTGAAATATTTTATAAGCACTTGAGACTGAAAATGTTTTAATTGACAACTATAACAACAATTAAAATTTATCTAAGCACTTAACTAATTTGCCATGTGGTCGCGGTATAGAATTGGCCATCCCTTCCTTTTCTGTGGATCTTCAAAGCCTAACTGCAGTTACCAACTCATCAGCCAAGCATGGAAACTACTGATAAAACCCCCCAATAGGGGGAGGCCTATGGTCAGCAGTGGACAGTCAACAGCTGATATGTTGATGACGATGACTGTAATATCTAAATCATGAGTCAATGCTTCAACTAGTCCAGTCAGTATCGTCCAAAAATAACCAAACGAAACTTATTAATAATTGTATAGATTCTTATTAAAAAAAAAAAAACTAAAATTAATCCTTTGTGTACAGCAATCCACTCGTTCAAGGAGGCCCTGGAGCTGGAGGAAGGTCTGCAGCGAGCCAAGGATGGACTGAGCAGGGCGCAGAAGTTGCAGAAACAGTCCGAGCAGAGGGACTACTACAAGATATTAGGAGTTAAAAGGTTGGTACACACTTCACTGTTATATGTCTTGAGATGCCTGTTGTTAGAAGCTACTAGCTTTCACCACATTTTACCAACTCAAACAGGATCTGTTTCATATCAGCCTTTATCTGTCCACTGTTGAGCATAGACCTCCCTCTTGAGATGTTTTGCCAAAAGTTGCCACGTTTGGCAGGCGAATGTGCAACCGCAATTAGGCTTTCGAGATGTCAAAAGAGGGACCCTGCTGCCCATCCCTCATCCTCCCTTAGTCGCCTCTTACGACACCCACGGGAAAGAAAGGGGTGGCCTATTCTATGCCGAGACCACACGATTATTGCCACTGTCTACATAGGAGATATTTAACCGTTTTAGTGACGACAGAATAATATGATTTTTTATACCACTGTGGTGGCAAATAAGCATACGGCCCACCTGATGGTAAGCATTATTGACGACTCTTGACATTATAATTGTTAAGTTTTCAAAATTAAATAAAAATATAATTTAGTTTTTACAATTACCAAGATGATGTTAAGGTAATATATACTAATACCAGGACAGCACAAGTAGTTTTTGTGTGATATCGCCAGAACAAACATACAGATGGACAAATTTTTTAAAAGTTATTATTTTAACTCCAACTGTTATTGTTAGAAGACCTCTCTTATCAATATTTCTCAAATATCTCACACGTACAGCCACACAGTTTAGTTGCAATTTTATTATATTACTATTATTTTTGTTTTGTGCGCGTGCAGGTCTGCGAGCAAGCAGGAGATAATAAAGGCGTACCGCAAGGCGGCGCAGAAGTGGCACCCGGACAACTACCAGGGCGACGAGAAGAAGATCGCAGAGAAGAAGTTCATCGACATCGCCGCCGCCAAGGAGGTGCGTCACACACACACACACACACACACACACACATACACATACACACGGACTTACACGCACGCACTCACATGCACGCACGTACACGCAGGCACGCACACACGCACGGATGCAAGCGTACACAAGTATCCCAACATTTTGTCAGTTGTTAATTGTCCACTGTTAAACATAGGGATCTCCCACATAAGGTGGGGTTTGCCAGTAGTTGCCACGCTTGGCAGACGCGTTGGCAACCACAGTTTGGTTTTTAGTGATGTTTTGAAAGGGATACATGTACGATACTAGTGATGGATGATAAGTGAGAATGAAAAGGCAGGTTAGTTAGTCCATCGTGATGCAGGCATCCAGTATGATGGCTACAAAGAGGACCATGTGATGGTGTATTACGAACGATTTCTTTCTGTCTTCAGTTAAAACAGAACACTAAACAAATTCATTTTCATATTTTACTAATCGATAAAGATGTTTGTTAATTTTTCACACAAAAACTACTGTATGGATTTGAAAGAAATTTAGTATATGAATAGGTAATATTTTAACTTGGCACATAAGATATTTTATGTACTGGTTCCTGTAGGATATGACCAGTTTACATTGAATGAATGAAAACTGTTTATAGTGCCCATGAATGAATGATACGGATTGCAAAGACAAGTGTTGTTCATGTGGTTTACCAGAGGTTTACCATGTGGTGTACAAAAGTCGCTTGCTTGGGTACCTCTGTCCTATTCGTGTTTTTACCGTAAAGCAGTTGTCTGCATGGCTGTGTTTCGGTTTGAAGGGTGGGATATGGTAGTGAATTTACAGGGTACAGAGGAGTAAGATCTGAGTCCTCAGGAATGGCAACGCATGGGGGTATCGTGGGCGAAACAGTATACTCTGTTGTGTCCACGGTACTGGTCATGTGGATTTTTTTATGGGTGATAATGGAATGGTAACCCCACCCGCGCTATTGGTATACACCGGAGGAGCACCAGTGAGGGATGATAGGTGAGGATGAAGCAGGCCAGTTAGCCCATCGTGACGAATTCAACAAGAATTGTTCACGATGGTTTCCAGGTGGAACCACGTGCAGGTCGACCTGATAGGGCATATTGCTAGCAATGGGGCTGTCAAACTCCATTGCTAGCAATTCCTTTCCCCCTTGGTCATGTGATTAGGCGACGGCTGCTACTTTGTATGAGGTGGGCCGCCAGGTGGTTTGCGGTCGTAAGTTGTGTAAACGTATGTGGCAGGTGCTGACGGACGCGGAGAAGCGCGCCCAGTTCGACGCGGGCAGCGACCCGCTGGACCCGGAGGCGGGCCGCGCCGCGCCGCCCTTCCACAGCCCCTTCCACCACTTCCAGCACGGCAGCCCCTTCCAGTTCAAGTTCCACTTCAACTAGGCACCACCACCACCACCACCACCACCACCACCACCACCACCGCCACCACTGCTCACCGCTCACGTGAGTCCACCGGCGTCTGTACTCATCACTTTCGTTGTAAGGGGGTTATTACATTATCATAATGTAGATTTGAGAGAAAAAAGAAAGAATTTAATCGACGAAGCACGCGACCCACACTAGCGCACAAAACAAGAACAAAAGAAACTAAAACTAAACATAACAAAAATAATATAAAAATAGAAAGCAATTAAAATAAATTTAGTTCAATTGAAGTCAAAATTTAAAAAAAAAGCAATAATAATAAATAAACAAACAAATGGTTGAATAACTCTTGAATCCAACATCGATATCAATCCAAATCTATTGCCAATGACAATTTTACACTGCCCTCATAAAACGACAATGAGTTTACAGGGTACAGAGGAATAACACCTGAGTCCTCAGGAATGGCAGCGTATGGAGAGTATCATGGGCGAAACAGTATACTCTGCTATGTCCACGGTACTGCTCATGTCTATAGGCGACGGTTACCACTTTCCATCAGGTGGGCCGTCAGCTTGTTTGCCATTCTAAGTTGTATAAAAAAAAAGTTGGGAAAGTTGATTTGTACTCGGCAAACGCAAATTCATAGTGTTAATGTGATAGTGAACAAATTTACTTAAATGTATTTTAGTTGAAAAAGCTCGACTAGTTTCAGGATCGTCCGGGACCCTTAGTCTCTAACTGCAGTAAACGTAAATTAATCCGTTCACTATGACATTACAATACGTTGTATATTTCCGAAACTTTCAAAAATATATATAGTTTATAGCTTATTAAAGATACTAGCTCGCTCTCTCAGTGTCTTACTCTTGTCCATAAAGAGCGATATAGCTACAGAGAGTGATCCCTTTCTACACAATAATCCAACAAATTGGGAAACTAATTTGATTCCCAAATGTCAAATATTTCGTTTTTTTTAGCTAGTATAAATATAAAATATGTACTGATACATAAAAAATGTGTATTTATTTGTTTAAAAAACCAACTCTACTAATTTTCATAAAATTTGCCTTACATATAATATTTTGTAGTGGAAAAATCATAAGCTACTTTTTATACCAACCGCGCAGACGAAATCAGATGTAAAAATAAATGTCACATTTTGTGATAATGTAATAACCTCTTGTAAATAAAAAAGGCTTCTTAATTAATGAACAGCAATTGTGTAAGACTTTAAACGTATCAAAATGGGCCAAGTATCCAGTCTATAGACTAAAATAATGTATGGTGGGGCAATCTAGGGAATTATGTTGTATATGGCAACATCTCATTTATTCACTCACACAATGATTTTGTCAACGGCTCTGAAAACTAACGCTTCTGAGACATTTTTATAAGTAAAAATTTTTTCCATTGTTTCGACGTATCTTATTTTGGAGTTACCTCTAACTCAAAATCTAATCCTAAGCCCAAATGAACGTAAAATAATTATGCTGAATAAAAAGAAAACGGGTTAAATCAAGCACCAACAACACTAAGTTGGCAACACGTTCCCCGCCGGCGGCTGTGTCGATAGCCCAGCTGTTTTATCTTGCAATTAATTTGCCAAAGGTTGATTTGAAGAAAGCTTACATAACCTACAGGGATAGTTCAGATTGCTTTGCGAAAGCTTCCAGTTGGATCTTAATAAAGTTTGAGGCCAGCATTTAATTTATTATTTATTCATTTGCTCAAATATTAAAATTTGTATATATGTATCGTTACGTCCATATTTTGGAAGGATATTCAGAAACAAAGGTTGTTAAATGCTCGCACGATCATTCGAATCAAATTAAAACTCGTATTTTAAAATTTTTATAAATACACTTGTATTAATATTTATAAAAATTTAACTTGAACCACCTCAATTTTCATTTCCTCATTTTCATTCGCCTTTGTATAGACCCAACTGTCTTCATGCCATTAAAAAAAATTAGATTGAAGGTCAGTGGTGCCAATTTTGATCTGGGCTTTTACTGCGATTGACATGTATTATATGTTTATTAATGTATAATTATTTACTGCCAGAAAAAGAAAATAATATATTTTTTTTTTACCCAATTCGATTTAGTGAATAATTTATGCACCCGAGAAATCGGTCAAAATCACTATCAATTCGAATGTATATAGTATAATAGAATACTATATAAATCGAATACATAGTCGAATCGCGCGAAATTAACTATAATTAATGCTTGTTTTATATCTAATTCCAACCCGATTGTTTGCTACTAATGGAATGCTAATAACTTTACACTTCAGCAAAAGTACAAAGTGCATTTGAAATATATATACCTATGAATATAGATCTATTTGAAAAGTCACTAGCACAAACGCAAAGTTGTTACATTGTATATCAGAAATATGTTAAGATATGCAAATATCAGTAAAATAAGCGAAAGAAAGAATTTTATTTATTTGTCTGAATATTACTTGAAATTAACGTATGGCTACAATATACATGAGTTTTTAAAATTAAAGATGTTTCTGATAACAGATTGACAAATCGACAATTGTAATAAAAAACAAAATCCGCTTTAAACAATTTATTTATAAATAATAGTAAATAAAATGCAATAAATTGATAAAATAAATTATATTGCATAATTAAATCGAATTCTAAGTACACAACGAGTTTATTGTCACTGTAATTTTTATTTTAACTGACAGTTACTTATCTCATAATGTAGCCGCCATCTTGTTTGCCATTATCAAGATGGCGGCTGATCTCGTCGAAGGTTTGTTACATTTTTGTATCCCACTTGACTCATACAAAAATGTTATAAACACCACCTGTGCCACTTACATTGTTAATCCATTCATGAGGACATACAGAATGTTGAAAAAACAATATTTAATTATACTTATTAATTTATTATCAACAAAATGTCGAACCAAGTGGCATTTAAGCTATTTTAGTTAAAGACAGAGTTATGTAAATAAATAAAAAATGCAATTACAATATTTTGAAATGTAAAAAGTGTTGGAACAAGCTGAAAAATAATACGTACTTTATTTCAGTACAATCAGTAACATATGGGTGAGCATTTGTTATGTTTTACACTTAGATTATATAGATAGGGTGTCTCCATACAAATGCTTCGAGAAAAGAGGGTCAACTTTTTCATACAATTTTGCGTGCGTAAATAGTTGCTAGTGATTCCTTTATAACTTCCATATTTATTTTGTCTTATAATTTTTGCAACTTTTTAATGTGTAAACACTCATTTTATTTATTAAATAATAAGTCAAGATACATTTTCTGCGTAATTATATAGAACACAGATAAAAAAAAAAACGAGTCAGCTAATTTGACAATTGGCTGACAAAAAGTTGACCCGTTTTTGAGGTCCGATGCTCTATCTATATGATGTAAGGGTTTTACATTAACCGTCTTACGATCTATGTACATACACAGTCAACTTTGTTACAACCATACAAAATGTCACGAACATGAATGTCATCTCTATGCTATTATGCAGTTTGTTCTATACTAAATTTTAATTGCACATTACAAAAATATGTATTATAACATTGATTTATGTAATTTAGTATAAAACAAACTGTATTGTGTAGCAATTGTAAATTGTTAGCTGTTGTAAGTTCTGGTGCTTTAATCATTTGTCAATGTGATGATTAAATTAAAGTGATTCAGTTTATTAGAACTGATATGTATTGACAAATGATATGGAGCAATACAAACGACTGGAAAATAATGTTAAGTCCGTTTTCTATCGGATTAGTTAAATTGAACTGTAGTTAACGAATTACATTGTATTGCATTGTAAGCGCCTTGCAGTCATAATAAATATTTATTTTAATAAGTTATTGTGAGTCATGAACTTGTAAATATTTTAGAATATAATAAGATATTATTATAAATGATGCCTTTTCATTATGTCCTACATTTGTTTGATGACAGTCATTCGTGTTTCTACCAGTGAAATGTGAAGCAGTTGTGTTTGCATGGCTGTGTTTCAGTTTGAAGGGTGGGATATGGCGTGAATTTACTGGGTACAGAGGAATAACACCTGAGTCCTCAGGAATGGCAACGCATGGTGGGTATCATGGGCGAAACAGAATAGTCTGTTATGTCCATGGTAATACTCATGTCTATAGGTGACGGTTACCACTTTCAATCAAGTGGGCCGTCAGCTTGTTTGCCATTCTAAGTTGCATAATAAAAAAAAGCATTACTTTTTTTTTCGAATTTTCTATATAATTGATTAAATACGTAATCTAATAAAGCTCATAGTTTCTTCAATGTATAAATAATTATTAAAAGATCACAGACTCTCTTACTACTAGAATTTAGCTTAGTGTGCGACGAAATCGGGCCTCGTTGTCCATAATTGTGTTTTATCCCCAAAATATTTTAAGAGAATCTCCCTTAAGACATTAGCGAACTAAATACTTCAATACGAAGAGGGAAAATTATACCAAGTCACCTGAAAGCTTAATACAGTTTTCAAATGTACTCGATCATCGAGAATCAACAATCAATCGATTAATTAAAATGTCATTGGTCAATGACAATCATGATTGGTCGTTTAGAACTTCAGCTCAAGATTCAGAATCGAGTTAACTCTCGATCAACGCAATCGTATTCTGAACTCGCACTAAGCACTGGTCTACTTGGTACAAAGCTTCAAAACTATTTATTATGGAGACCCTATGATACCCTAGAAATGAGTAGATAATATTTAATCTCCAAACAATAAAATAAAAATAAATAAATATTAAAAATTCACTGAGTTCCTATAGCAATTTTTACATATTCGACATTCTTCGTGTGTTCCATTCAGTCTGCTCCGCCGTTGTCGTCCCACAGAGTCCTCGCCTTCCGCAGCCCCTGGCCGGTGAACTTGATCTGTTTAGCAACCCTCTCTATCTCATTGCTGAGCCTCTCCTTGTCCTCTTCTCTCTCGCAGACGAACCTGTGCTTCTCCGCGCAGTCGAGCCCCCTGTACCGGTACGTGACGGCGGCGGGGTCGTGTGTGAGCGAGAGGCAGCGACCCTCGCCGACCACGCCGCCCGTGTTGCTTGTATTGTTCGTGGCGTTACCGAGTACTGCTTGCGCTGAGTGCGACCAGATCCAAAGCAAGCCAGGGTTGAGACCGCCCGTCCACCAGTCGTCGCCTATGATGAAAAGTTCAAGTCAACGTACTTGGAAATTGAAATATTAAAATCAAACGAGCCTGAAAAACTTGCTGAAGAAACAAGCTGATGATATCAGCCTTTAACTGTCCACTGCTGAACACAAGCCTCCCCCTTAGGGGGTTTTGCCAGTAGTTGTCACGCTTAACAGGCGGGTTGGCAACCGCAGTTAAGCTTTGGAGATGTTTTAAAAGGGACGCTGCTGCCCATCCCTTGCCTTCTCTTAGTCGCCTCTTATTACACCAACGGGAAAGGAAGACGTGGTTTATTCTATGCCGGGACCATACAGCGAAAGAGTAGTATACTCGCATAAATAGAGTTTCGTATTTGAGTAAAATGTTATTAACAAGACTATTAAGACTTACCAGAGGGAGACTTTGTACAAAAGTCGTTTGCTTGGGTAACTCTCCCATTCGTGTTTCAACCGTGAAGCAGTTGTGTGTGCATGGCTGTGTTTCGGTTTGAAGGGTGGGATAAGCCGTGAATTTACAGGGTACAGAGGAATAACACCTGAGTCCTCAGGAATGGCAACGCATGGGGGGTATCATGGGTGAAACAGTATACTCTATTATGTCCATGGTACTGCTCACGTCTATAGGCGGTGGTTACCACTTTCCATCAGGTAGACCGTCAGCTTGTTTGCCATTCTAAGTTGTATAAAAAAAAAGTAAATCAGTAATAGCACATCTAAAGTAATCTTTCCCATGAATCGTCCAACGGATTTGTGTGATATGTCGGTAGAACAATGGGTCTCGAATTGTCAAATTATTGTTCGAGATATGCATGCAACGAGCGCTGTACTAGTTCCTTACCCTGGAATGACATTATGCATAAAAGCTAAACTAATAGAGAACAAAGTATGAGAAGCATTTTTGAACGTGTTTTAATAAATTGATCATTGAATCCACTGAGCAAGTTTACATCGTAAGTTATATTTATTAAATGGTATAATACGTTTTTCTCCATCATACCTCTGAGACGTTTGTCAGACAACATAGCAGATAGCACTTGCTTCCGCTCAGCGTCCGAATCGAACTCGAGCAAGTTCCCGCGCAGCTTCCTGCAGTGCAAGTTGGCTCTCTTCCAGTCGGCCGCCTCCGACGAGAAGTAGTAGCACGTGCCGCCCACGCGGGTGAAGTTGGCCTTGCACGGCTCTACACAATAGGGTACAGCAAATACAAAAATTAACAATAGCCCATCATTAGAAGAATATAAACAGGAGTTGGTGAGAAAACGACGGTATTTTACTTTTTCGATGAGCTTTGTGTGTGACCAGGAAGGCCAAACAATGGGTAATGACTCATTATCTTACTTATTCACACTGCAAAGTATAAATTTTTTATTTTGTTTTCAATCAAAAAGACCAGAAACTCAATGCTATCTCAACATACACTAGTTTAGTACAATAGAAGTGGGGCGGAAAGGGATTGTTAGCAATGGAGTTTGACAGCCCCTTTGCTAGCAATATGCCTTATTAGGTCAACCTCCATGTGGTTCCCCCTGGAAACCATCGTGAACAATTCTTGTTCAATTCGTCACGATGAGCTAACTGACCTACTTCATCCTCGCCTATCATCCTTCACTGGTGCCCCGCCAGTGTATACCGATAGCACGAGTGGGATTACCATTCCATTATCATCCATTAAAAAAAAGGACAATAGAAGTGGCAAATATGGTATGGAAGGATGCCATGAGGTACTTTGCATACTGTGAAAACGCTGTCGTGTTAAGCTATACTCAGGGCAGTTAACTAATTAAAGAAGAAAAGGGAATATAAATTTTGAAATTGAACAAATAAAATGTTTGCATGTAGAAACATTTCATACACATACATACGCATATTCCTATGTGGGATATACTCGTAATAATAAAACTAGATAATTAAAAATTACAATCGCCTAAACTTTACAATTTTGAATGTAATCGAGCTTCTGATCTACTGAAAGATCGAAGGACCGCTTGTAAGGTCGAAAGTTCGAATTTGTCGTCGAAAGGTATTAAATTTTGGCGTGAATTTACTGGGTACACTGAGTCCTCAGGAATGGCAACGCATAGGGGGTATCATGGGCGAAACAGTATACTCTGTTATGTCCATGGTACTTCTCATGTCCATAGGCGACGGTTACCACTTTCCATCAGGTGGGCCGTCAGCTTGTATGTCATTCTAAGTTGTATAAAAAAAAATTAAAAGGCAAATTTGTCATTTTTTTATCTACAATCAGTTTTGTGTGTAGAATGTCTTAGCGGCCAGCGAGAAAACCGGTCAAAGCAACGTCTACTAAAATTAGTTGATTAAAACTGTAATCACCTGGTGTAGCATCCTTCCCCGCGACCAAGTAGTGCATGGTCTCCTCCATCTTCCTGAGCCGTTTCTCCATGAGGTCTACGCGGTACACCAGTTTCTCTATGGCGGTGAGTAGGTACAGGTCCGTTTCAGTGACGTGTTTGTGAGGCTTCGAAGGTTGCTCGTCCACGCGGTCGACGGCCGGCCGCTGCGGGCGAGGCGGCGCCGGCGGCGGGGGCGGAGGGACCGGGATCGGCTGGTTGATGGATGGCAGAGGCTGCAGGAAGAAGTGGTGACAAACTGTTAAACTTATTTCCGCTTATTCACCATGTCCCTCACACATCCAGCGCATATATACAATTGCTACTACCTTATAATCTATTTTTAGTCGGGCACTGCACCTCCGATCTTCCCATCGATTACCCGTTTGTAATACCACACAGTCATTTCACGGACGTCTACTTACAATTTTGAAACAATAATAAAAAAACAATAAACACAAAAAAACAATACATTTAAAATAGTAGTCAAAAAGATATTTTTTTTTTATACAACTTAGAATGGCAAACTAGCTGACGGCCCACCTGATGGAAAATGGTAACCGTCGCCTATAGACATGAGCAGTACCATGGACATAGCAGAGTATACTGTTTCGCCCATGATACATACCCCCTACGCGTTGCATTCCTGAGGACTCAGGTGTTATTCCTCTGTACCTCTCTTTATTATTTAAATAAGATTACTAAAGTCACATAACTCATCTCTGCCCCATCGAACATCTAACAATCTACAGATATCAAAATTTATAATATGAATAGGGTATATGCATTACTTACATACTCGTAACTTGGTTTGAACATATCCTTATGAGGATTCGTCGGCCGGTTGACAATTTTCCCGCCAGCCGGCGGCGGCGGCGGCGACTCCTGCCACTCTTCGTAGTAGTGCGGCGGTGAGGGCCCCGGCTGGTACTTGTGGTGAACGGAGCCCGGGGGCGGCGGCGGAGGTATCAGCTGCCCATCGATGCGGTCTATCACGTAGTAGGCCTTTGTCGACGGCATTGACATCACCCGGCCTGTGGAATCGGTCATAATTTTTGTATTGTTTATAACAGGACTGTCCAGTCTAGATAGGATCTAGAGCCAATCAAAATGACTAAATTCGTGGGGAAAGGGATTGTTAGTAATGGAGACTGAGAATACCATTGCTAACAATATATCCAACCAGGTCGACCTCCTCGCGGTTCTCCCTGGAAACTATCATGGTTAATTCCTGATGAATTCATCATGATGGGCTAACTGGCTTGTTTTCATTCTCACCTATCACCCTTCACTGGTGCTCCGCCAGCGTATCCCATTAGCGCAGGCGGGGTTACTATACCATTTTCACCCATCAAAAAAACCTTATCGCTATTACTAACAATCCTTTCCCTCCATTTGCATACTATATCCCAGTCTGCAATGGAGACATTGAGGCAGTGAAGTAACTGACATCACAAAAAATTCATTTACAAGCTTCAATCACAAGGTGTTAGTGTTATTTCTGTTGCAACCACTCATTCTTTTGGCCCTTTGGTTCACCCTCGTTGCATAAAACTGATAAGGATCGTACTCACCGTGCCTCGATGACGCAGCGCTCGCTGACTGAGTGGCCCATTCCTCCAGCAAAGCAGCCCACGGTCCTGGCGAGGCGTCGCACGTGTCGGCTGACGAGGTGCTCTCACCGTTGACACACCCGAGCACCAACAGGGCTAGTGTTAAGCAGTACAGATGCATCTGGAATGCAGAATAACATTTGTAAATTTGAACTTAGAGTGCCAAGTGTGAGTCGTTAAAATAATGAGTAGGTACGTTACGATAGGTTTCGGTAAGTTTGTATAGTAATCTGTGTTTCTCGACCTATCCTATAGAGCCGTAGCTAAGTCATCGCGACTTAATTCGAAATCTAAATTTTAAAGATTTTTAAATTTTGTGGTAACGACATTATAAAAAAAAGAAACTATAGTACACGTAAACGTAATATTCATGGGAATTTAATAACATTGTCATTATTTTAGATTATTTATATGCATTAAACATGATTATGAGTATACCTACTTTATTTGCATTATACAATATAGGAAGTAAACAAGGCAATTTACAAACGCAACGATACAATTGTATAAGTACAGTAAGGCGGTCTTATTGCTGAGAGCAATCTTTTCAAGACAACCTTAGGGTAATGGACTAATTGTTGTACAAGTAGGTATGATAGTGCTGTATAACTAAAAAGGTACTGTTATCAAATTAAAAAAATAAAATTTATGTATTTATATGTTTCACACTACATGTTTCATCAAAATAATGGAGGGACATAAAGAGGTTTTACGATACTTTTTAATTCAAATTCAGAACTTTTTATTTCCTTATTTCTGTTTCAATAAGTAATTAGTAAGTTTCCCTTTTCCATATACGAGAAAGAATGGTACCTACATAAACATTCATTACTTCCTACTCTTGTATCTACTGATATAAAATCAGGACTGAAGTAAATGATTGAATACTACAGGGAACACTTACTGCCAGCGAGTTTATAAAAAAATTGCTTTTTTTTTTTACCACTGAGGTGGCAAACAAGCATACGGCCCACCTGATGGTAAGCGGTTATCGTAGCCTATGAATACCTGCAATACCAGAGGTATTACGCGTGCGTTGCCGACCCTGAAGAAACCTCTTTAACCCCTTTTGAAGAACCCTATGCTGTAGTCTCTTGGGAAAACCTCGGCAGGGAGCTTATTTCACAAACTGAATGTTCGTGAGAGGAAACATCTCTGAAACCGCGCAGTACATGACCATTGAGGCTATATTAATTTAATTGCAAACATGCATAAATACATGGATTGTTTAAATCATTGATTGTAGCCGTGGGGAGGGGGGGGGGGGTATTAGTAATGCAGAGTACCAGTTGCTAACAATACACTTTGTCAGGTCTACTTCCATAAGGTCCCCCCTGGAAGCCATCGTTTATTATATTAATGCCAGGCGTATTCGTCACGATGGGCTAACTGACCTACCTTTTTATTCTCACCTATCATCCCTTACTGGTGGTCCGCCAGCGTATATCGATAGCGCAGGCGGGGTTACCATTCCTTTAAAATCTATTAAAAAATCTCGTTGCTTGTTGGACAGAGTATACTGCGAAAAAGCCAAATCATTTCTCTAGTGTTTTAAAAATGGATTGCAAGGGTCGTTAACCTGGGGCGGGCTTGCTTGATTGCCATCTTCGTTTATTTATATGTATACAAAGGACCATCTAAATTAGTAAGCTATTACAGGTACTTACTAAGATTTATATAATTTTTATATATGGAATAACTACATGGGACAGATAAAAGAAACAATAGGTGTCATGTCGTATAGGGAGGTCAAGGATATGGCCTGGGATAGAGCTGGCTGGAAGAAGATGCATGAATTAGTTGCACCGACAAGAGGAAACTCTTAAATGAAAAGAGAGACTAAGTTTTATATAATAAATTAGCTAATAGAACACCCTACGAGCACGTGTCTGAATGCTAACACTTCACAGATCCTGCACGTCGTACTAGTTGCCTACTTAGAGTGCATCGTGTCCAAACACTTGACTCATGAGTATTCGACACGGGTACAGCGTTACGATAGTTGTTACCTCACATTCAGAGGTCAACTGCGGCCAGTGACGTCACGCACCAATGACCGCCACGCCGGTTAGGCTCTGCGTACACTTATGAAAGTTGATTTTTTCATTTAAAAACGTTCTCAAAATGTATAATTATATAATTTTAATGAATTATATACAAAAGTTATTGTCGATTTTGTAATTCAATGTGTGAGAAACCTAATGCTCTGTATTGTATAGATGTTAGCTCGTAGATTTTCTCTTTCATACTTTTGGGGTTGCTGTAAGAGAACTCTTTTAGAGTTAAGCTCGCCTTTGTACATTTACTTACCACTGTTATATTTTTATGTACTCTCAGTGTGTAGTGTAAATAAATATAAATAAATAAATACTCGTCGTCATAGAATAGAATAGAATAGAATAGAAATCATTTATTCAAATAAACTTACATTGAAGCACTTTTGAAAAGTCATTACATTTTTTTTTAATTTACCGCTCGTTCGGAAAGCTGTCTCATCACAAGAAGAACGAGCAAGAAACTTGCGTGATGCTCTTTTAAATAATTTTATTATTATTTTACATTTTTAAGTTTAATTGTGTGAATACAAACCACCAATTACCACTAATTCAATTAAATACTCAAAAAGAAAAAAAAAATTGAATACATAACCAACTGGTTAAACAATTAATAAGAGGAAATCAGTCATAGTGATTAGAGCAGACCAGTCCCTACAAGCAGCACCCGTTCACGAGTATGACGGATGAGCCAGCCATCACTGCGCTCGACCATATTTTAGGGAGCCCAATGACCCGGCCCACCACGCCGCCACAAGTCTGGACATTTTAGTGAGCATGACTACTCAAAACACTAGACCACGTCAAAGCTACTCACAATTGCCATCTGATAGTTATAGTATTCACATTTTACATAAGAATGCATGCGGCAATTAATACAAAAAACCGCTACGCTTTCATATTTCTAAAATTAATCAATTAAATCAAGAAAGCAATGAGAAAATAAAATTATAACGTTGTATGCTAATAAACTAATTATTTACTTGATATGTTGTCATCTATGAATTCGTCTATCCTGTAATAGGCTTTCTTACATAAAAATTGTTTAATATAAGATTTGAATTGCCTCTCTGTCAGATTTAATGCAGATTCCGGCAGTTTATTATAAAATCTTATGCAATTACCATAGAATGAATTACTGATTTTGTGCAGACGGCATTTAGGTAAAATAAGCTTATTTATATTGCGTAAGTTTCTACTTGTACAGTCTTTGAGTTTTTTAAAACTCGCTAAGTTCTTCCGTGTATACATAATATTTTCATAAATGTATTGTGAAGTAACTGTGAGGATATTTGAGTCTTTAAAGCACTGACGTAATGACTCTCTTGAACCCATACCATAAATAGAACGTATGGCTCTCTTTTGTAAAACAAATATAGTATTTATATCGGCTGCTTTACCCCACAGCAGTATGCCATAAGACATTATGCTATGGAAATAACTAAAATATACAAGTTTAGCCGTCGCCACGTCTGTTAATTGCCTAATTCTTCTAATTGCATATGCAGCAGAACTGAGTCTACTGGCCAATTTTGAAATATGGGGCCCCCATTGTAATTTCGAGTCCACTGTTATACCTAAAAAAACTGTATCATTAACAAAATTTACTATTTCGTCATTAAGCAATAACTGTGTATTTATTAGTCTTACATTAGGAAGTGTAAATTTTATACACTTTGTTTTGCTGGAATTTAATAATAGGTTATTACATGTAAACCAATTTAATATTGCAGACATAGCACAATTTACATCGTCTAATTGATTACTTTGACGTCCAATTTTAAACACTAACGAAGTATCATCCGCAAACAGCACTATATCTGCAATTTTCTCTACCATAAAGGGAAGGTCATTTATGTAGATTAAAAAGAGAAAGGGGCCTAAGATTGACCCTTGTGGAACGCCCATCTTAATATTAGCTCCCTTAGATTTTACACCGTCAATATCTACAGTTTGAACCCTATCCTCTAAATAAGTTCTCATTAATTTTAGATCATTATCTCTTATACCATAATGTTCGAGCTTGTACAAAAGCGTTTTATGATCCACACAATCAAATGCCTTTGATAGGTCACAAAAAACTCCGAGTGCATCCTGTGACCTCTCCCAAGATTCGAAAATATGTGTCATTAGCGCAACACCTGCGTCAGTGGTAGACTTGCCGGCGGTGAAACCATATTGCTGACTGTGAAGCAGTCCGTTAACCCTACTGGTTGCTTGGGTACCTCTGTCCCATTCGTGTTTCAACCGTGAAGCAGTTGTGTTTGCATGGCTGTGTTTTAGTTTGAAGGGTGGGATATGGCGTGAATTTACTAGGTACAGAGGAATAACACCTGAGTCCTCAGGAATGGCAACGCATGGGGGTATCATGGGCGAAACAGTATAGTCTGTTATGCCCATGGTACTGCTCATGTCTATAGACGACGGTTACCACTTCAGGTGGGCCGTCAGCATGTTTGCCATTCTAAGTTGTATAAAGAAAAAACATAACTCCATTTGAAAGAAATGTATTTCTAAAAACTTATCTAGTTTCTTTCAAATTGGAACAAAAACTGAAATATAAGACGAAGACGGTATCTCCAAAAGTAAGGTAGATTTATAAAAAATAGAGTCTTAATAATTACTTATTAGGACTCTATTTCTTATGAGCGGATTCAATTATGATTTTTTCTAAAATATTGCCAGCTTCAAAAAGAAGGAAATCCTTATTTTGACTGTATTTTTCTTTATATACCGAGTCTAATTAGTTATATAATACAATATCGTCAATAATATTCTTTGTTGGAGCGAAGAAATCATTAGTAATAGAATCTAACAGCTCCATTCCTATCAGGTTGACCTCCACGCGGTTTCCCTGGAAGCCATCATGGTTAATTCTTGCTGTATTCACCACGATGTGCCAACTGACCTGTTTTCATCCTCATCTATCATCTCTCAGTGGTATCCCACCAGTGTATACCGACAGCATAGGGACAGCAGCACCGATTTCCATTGTATTTTCACATATAAAAAAAAACCTTTATTGGTTCTATACAATTTATTTTTTAGTTCGTGTTTCAAATCTCTGAATTACAGAATCTCCAGTGTCAACAACTTGTCGTTTACCAACAAATACCAAGTATGAGTGGAGCCTACAGTTGCGCAAGAGTTGCGGTGCGAACTGCCGCGGACTGCGCATGCGTCGACGGAGAAAGTGGACGCGTCCGCGTCGCTACATGTAAACAAGGATTTCATATCCGCTCCACGAGCATGATTAACTGGGGATTTTCCCATCCTTATATAACTTTGATGTAATGTGACAACACTGAGTCTATTTTTGTCTTTGATTTTTGTACATAGGTGACAGAACTGTAATGGTACTGTAATAGCATTTATTGTATTACCTGGCTTGTAGTGGGCTTGTTTAGAAACTAGTTTTACATGAGTTTTAGAGAGTTGCAATTTTGGAACGAGAAAAATAACTATAATAAAATTAATTTTTAACTTTACCTCTATTTTAAAATTTAAAAGCAATTAAAATTGAGGTATGTTTAATAAAAAAAAAATCTGCAGAAATTAATAATGCGTAAAGTTGTAATAAATTTAAGACAGTATAAAAAATATACACATCGTCTTAATTCTTTTTTTAAATGTTGTCAATTAAAAAGTAACGACAAAAGAAAAAGTAAAAAGAAAGTCTTGAACATAATCATTCAAATTGCATGCAAACGAAATTAAAACAGAAATACCTTATTCTAAGTATCATTTTTAGTTAGCATTTTTTTTTTCTATTTTAACATATCAATATTTGAAACTGAGGAGGGAAAATTTACATAATAAAGAAAGAATTCCTCAATTTAGCAATTCTAAATCGATTTTGACGGGGCGTTCGATAAGATTTAGGTAAGGTATGTAAATTATTAACTAAACTAATTAATAATCTAAATTAATAATTTAGACCCTTATTAGTTTTATCATGATTGAAATGTACTGATTTTATATTTTAAAGTAAGATAATAATTTAATTTTTTCTAATGCAAATTACGACAAAAATGTATACTACTTTTTTACTAGTGACTCGACCAGTCTTTACACGGATTGATAGGTTGGTTTTTTGATAGGTACGAATGGAAATTCTCTTTTTTTTTTTAATAAAATACCGTCTAAACTACTGGCTGAAAATGCAATAAATAAAAAATAATTTACAATACGCTTTGTAGCTTACTACTCACCTCCCAAGTTATTTAATACATCGGCGCATACAGACTCGGTAATTGGCACTTTTTATATATCACAAGGCAATGGCCACTTTCAAGCATTCACTCGCGATCACCTTTGCTTTCTGTCCGAGAGTAGACTGACGGGTAGCGCGGATAAACTCGAAGGTATGCGCCCGCGCACTCACTGAGCATGCGGTGGGGTGAAAACTTATAAGTACATAACTGGCTGTATTCCGCGACTTTGCCGATGTGAAGATAAATATCCTTTTTTATGCAATTGGGAATAATTTGGAATTGGTAGCATGAGAACTCATCAACTTTCATGCTGCCTTTCATTAATACATTTTATTTATTTTTATTTTATTTTATTTATTAGGCGCACATAACAGAAGTTTACAAATACAAACTTAAATTATAACATGCAAGTACATTAATGTATTGATCATGTAAACTTGCCACAACATGTGCACACAGCGTGATCCAATAATAAATGCGACTGCAACAAAGCCATTCGGTTGCAACTATTCGTGAAAGAATTAAACATAGAAAGAAACAATACATACTATACCACGAAACCGTTACCCATCTGAGGAAAACTGGCAACTTCTCTCTACAAATTTGTTTTTATTTCAAGAACAGTGTCATCAATATCATGGAGTAGGTACACTGTGATGCCCATGGTAAGTACCCCTCACACATTACAATTTCCAACGAACTTGGTCAGTTACAATATTTTAATTTAAAAACCAAACTACCGAACCGATTTTGATGATTTTTTATACTACTTAGAATGGGAAACAAGCTGATGGCCTTTCTGTTGGAAAGTGGTAACCGTCGCCTATAGACATGAACAGTACCATGGACATAACAGAGTATTAACTGTTTCGTCCATGATACCCCCCATGCGTTGTCATTCGTGAGGACATAGGTGTTATTCCTCTGTACCCTGTAAATTCACGACATATGGTATATGACCCTTCAAACCGAAACACAGCCATGCAAACACAACTGTTTTACGGTTGAAACACGAATGGGACAGAGGTATCCAAGCAAACGACTTTTGTACAAAGTCTTAGTTTTATTAATCTACCGTGTGTATGTGTGAGCGTCTTTAAATGGGTATATATATATATATATATATATATATACACGTTTCAATGGAATAGACAAAATAAAATTATAGCTTCTGAAGAATAGGTTTCAATGAAATGATCAATCATTATCGACGGTGCATGTCCGTGATTACACTTGTAAGTGCTAGTGGTTGTAATCATTGTCGTATCAATATAATGGATCACTGTCTCGTACCGCAGCGTTCTCGTAGCGACCGCACGTTGCCACTAACAAGCTATTTTATATGAAATCTCTCCACGCCATATCCGGGTATGAGATTTTTTTTGATGTGTGAAAATGTTATGGTAACCCCGCCTGCGCTAACGGGATACACTGGCGGAGCACCAGTGAAGGGTGATAAATGAGAATGAAAACAGGCCAGTTAGCCCATCATGATGAATTCAACAGGAATTAACCATGATAGTTTCCAGGCAGAACCGCGAGGAGGACGACCTGGTTGGGTATATTGCTAGCAATGGGATTCTCAGTCTCCATTACTAACAATCCCTTTCCCCCCTGGGTATGAGATTATAACTCTGATTCGTGTTAAGAGGTCGCGGTATAGTAGATATATATATGCATCCTACAAGGCTTTTTTATGCAACTTAGAATGACAATCTGACATCCCATCTGATGGAACATCACCCATGATACCATTCATGCGTGGGGATTCTTAGTAATGGTCGACCTCCACGTGGTACCCCTGGAAACCATCGTGCTGAATTCCAGGTGTATTTATCACGATAGGCTGACTGCCCTGCAGTTAGCCCATCGTGACAATTTTATAATAATTTAATTTAATCATATTTAACTCTTTCATTTTCACCTATCATCCCTCACTGATGCTCAACCAGCATATAATGTTAGCGCAGGCGAGCTTACCATTCCATCATCATCCATTAAAAAAAACCCTTCATGCGTTGCCATTCTTGAGGACTAAGATGTTTTGCCTCTGTAGCCTGCAATTTCTTTAGCATATCCCACCCTTAAAGGAGGCGAGGGATGGGCCGTAGCGTTCCTAACAAAACCTCTAAAGCTTGATTGCAGTTGCCAATCCGCCTGCCAAGCGTGGCAACTACTGGCAATACCCCCTAAGGGGAAGGCTTATGTTCAGCAGTGGATCATGATTAGGGTATTACCCTACAAGAAAGAAAGAAAGAAAGAAATAATTTAATCAAAAGAAACATGCGGCCCACACAGTAGCGCACAAAACAAAAACAAAAGAAATCAAAAACAAAACAAACAAAAGAAAATAATAATTATATACAAATAGATAGCAATTAAATTATAATGTACGCGTGCGCGCGTGTGTGTCGCAATGTTCTGTGATCACAAGGTCACGAATATTGGGTCAAATGAAACACAAGTTGTACTAACAAAAAAAGTTAATAACAATTTATATATAATTTCATTACAACGTACTTACATACTAATAAATAATAATAAATAAAACATTAGGTCGTTTACTCTCTAGCCGTGTAAGAAGCCTAAAATTGCCACTTTGGTGTTTCGTAACAGTATCATAAAACGAATCATGTTTACAATTCATCCAATTTGTAGATTTTCGTGTGTAGACGCCAAAGTGGTGTTGATTTAATAAAATGATTCTTTAGACAATTTTGCAAGTTCACTCACATTAACAAGCCAATAATTTTATTAAATCACCGAAGCAGTGAAATTGGATGTCTTTCTTTTCATTTAACAGTTTCCTCTTGTCGGTGCAACTAATTCATGCATCTTCCTCCAGCCAGCTCTATCCCAGGCCATATCCTTTATCTCCCTATACGACATGACGCCTAGTGTTTCGAAATTGGATGTACTAAAAATATAACAGTATTCAATCGACTTTAAATTCATATTATCTTTATACGAATAGACTTGTTTACAAGCACTTTTAAATAGTCATTTTTTTTAAATCTACTACAAGTTTCGGAAAGTTGTTATCTGTTGTGAAGAGCCCGCAAGAAACTCAACAGTTATTCATTTAAATCTCTGTTAATATTGTGTGTATTTTTTTTTATACAACTTAGAATGGCAAACAAGCTGACGACCCACCTGATGGAAAGTGGTAACCGTCGCCTATAGACATGAGCAGTGCCATGGACATAACAGAGTATACTGTTTCGCCCATGATACTCCCCATGCGTTGCCATTCGTGAGGACTCAGGTGTTATTCCTCTGTACCCAGTAAATTCACGCCATATCCCACCCTTCAAACCGAAACACAGCCATGCAAACACAACTGCTTCACGGTTGAAACACGAATAGGACAGAGGTACCCAAGCAATCGACTTTTGTACAAAGTCTCCCTCTGGTTAAGATTTAAATGTCTAAAATTACATGGTCGTTAAAAGCCCGTGCATGTTCGACTAACACCATGCCTATTTGTTATTCAAGCAATCGTTTAGTGCTTTGTTCAATAAGTGTTTTTGTAATAACAGTTATAAACTTATTAAAAGGCAAATCCAAAATATCCTTCGGCATCTTACTATAACATTTAAAAATTAATTTGTTCCGTGTATTTATGTTACGTGATTTTATTTTTGCAATGTCTTCGGCTTACTCGTTTAACTACCTTATGAACACGCAAAGAGAGTGTTTGCAAATATTTTTTGTGCTAAAATGTTACATTTTAGAATCTTATCAGACACGAATTACCAATGTGGCTATTTTAGTCAGCGAAATAGTAAGTGGAAGGAGAAGAGGCTGTGTAGATAATAATGTAGTCACACTTTCACTGGTTAACTGCCACGCCCTATATTGTTTGTTGGTACATATGTTACATGATAACAATAGGCACGCAAAGCGAGCCAGATAATAATAGAAATCAGAGATGAATCGGTCAAGTGTAAGTTGAACTCACGTATCGTGGGTTCAGTACGTAAAAAAGTAAATACGTAGGTTTCCGTTATCTTTAGATTGAAATTTAAAGGTATAGTTGTATATATTAGGAATAAAAATTGCTTAATTTTAAAATTTGGTTAAAAAATTGAAAAATTCTTTGAACTTTACTATTCTGAATAGGACTACATATATATATATATATATATATATATATATATATATATATATATATATATATATATATATATATATATATAATCATAATTATTTATTTTATATTATATTAATTTTTGAAGTTTAACCAAAGCATTATATTTTCTGAAACCAAAGTATGCAATAATTTCACTCACTGGATTAATTCGCTATGAATATATTTAAACTAAATTTAATTAAATATTAAATAATATATATATAAATAATGAATAAGCTTTAGAGAATTACTTAAAAATATTATTAATACATACATATTACAATATCTATTTATTACAATCACTAACAATCTATATCACTAGTTCGTTTGTAGACATAACAAAATGTATTTTAATTTATATTCATTCAATTCATCACAATTATATACTGATCGATTCACAATTCATATTTGAAAATTCTTATTTACACGTAAATCTAACATTTTCTACATAAAGACATAGGTCGTTAAACGTATTGAATGCATATATGTATATGTATTTTTCTCAAACATGCTTGGAAATATGAACATTATTTTGACAATCTTCTTCGAGATAAATCAAAATTGCCGTACTGGCCAGATACATGCGGGCAGCGGCCGGCAAAAGTTGCATGAAAATCCATATCTGTCGTGTTTGCGGCCAGATAAATTATTATGTAAACTCATATCTGTCCTGTAATTTAAAAATCGAATGACCTTTTACTTCGAAACATGGCTACCAAGGAGATAACTAATAAAAGGTTTTATTTAAATTTCGAACTGGCTTGCAAATAGAAAGCTGTTTATTGAAAAAAAAAAGCAAAGGAACATTATGGCGCGTGAAAAATTATTATTGGTCGTTTGTCGTCATTGAACTTAAAAAGTTAAATTATGTTTTTTTATTTTCGCGCATTGTTTGAGAAAAGTACTATACAAACCTTGGCCACAACTGGGCATTGATGGACTCACGTATGTGTGCCTCGGCTACGCCTCGGCCTACATTTGAACGTTCGTCCATCAATGCCTCAGTTGCTGGCCGCTGCAGTAATGTATTATAGTTTACCCTGTATTTAGCCGGCTTTAAAAGGAATTATTGTATTTTATGCTTTACCTACATTTACCATCCAGATCGTAAAAGGACTATAAGAAGCATCGTATTGATACGTCCTAAAATAGAGGAGAAGGGGGGGGGGGAGGTTGCTGGTCATGAAAGAAAAATAGTGCATTACGTAGACGACATATGAGTGTAACGATGTTAATGTTATTGGTATCTAACTTGAAAATTACCTATTTAAAATCGTACTGGTATATATAAATAAGCAATAGGGCTACCAACGACCGTATCTACCACCCAATTATTAAAATACATTTAGAAAATCTAAACCTTATTTTATTATTAATAGGTAACAATGTGTAAACATACTTTGAAGTAATATTTAGTTTCACAAGGGAAGACAAATTTGAACTCTCATACAATCGACCAAGTAAAGGTAGGTGACAAAGAATATACTTATAATAAATCTCTAGAGAGGTCAATTCTGTACATGAAATATATTTCCAAAATAACTATCAGGCGGTGATTAGTGATCGATACTGATGCCAAAAATGCTATCAGTGAAATTTTTGTCTGTCTGTCTGTATGTTCGTTATAGAAACAAAAAGTACTCGACGGATTTTAACAAAACTAGGTGCAATTATTCTTCATACTCCCGGGCGGGTTATAGTATACTTTTCATCACGCTACGATCAATAGGAGCAGAGCAGTGAAGGAAAATGTTGGGAAAACGTCGCGTGTACAGTCTTAATGGCCACTTTTTAAAATGTAAAAATGTCCACCCGTGCGAAGCCGAGACGGGCCGCTAGTAAGTAATAAAATAAAAAACAAAAGAGATTGTCAACATAAACTGAGTTAGTTGATATATGTATCAAGCCATAACTCAGTGTTAATGACACTATTCATTAAACTGAACAACTATATCATCATCAGTTGCCCAGTAACAAAACTGTCCTATTTTATATATATTCTTTATTGCACTTGTAAGTTACATATAAAATAATCTATTTATAAATGTTGTGAGCAAGGGTGGACTTATCTCTGACGTTTTTTTTTACGTAATTGTACACTATCACTGAGTTTTGGGGTGAACTCTTTGGTTTATAACTCAGCGTCAGTATATTATATTATATTACATAATATACCCACTACTTTTTGACGAGTCAGCTTATCGTACTCATAAGTTGTTTGAAATAGACACAATTTCAATACAAAATATGTTTTTGTTTGAAAAAATAAAGAAATAATCACTAGATTATTTCAGACATTGTGTAAAAAGAAAACGAAAATAAATATCGCGAATAGCGAAGAAAGTAAGAAAAATTAAAACAAATATTATATATACAGTTATTTGTTTATACTTAAATTATGAGATTTTAATCGAGCTTTCATTTTTTTTTTTTTATTTTTAATTGCTGTTTAATAAATGGTAACCATACTCTACTGACTAAATAAAATGTTAGGTAACTAAGAATATTTAACTAGTCTAGACTAGCTGCATCGCTTATTTACGGCGTATGGATTCCGTGGCATTATAAATTCTACGTGAATTTATAATGCCATGGAATCCATATATCCATTATAAATTCATGTACATATTGAAAATGCCAATGGAATTCCATACAATGTAGTCCCATTTATTGTTTCATGAGTTTTGGCTTATTTATCGTGTGCAGCCTGTAGTATTGATTAAAATTTCCCAAAAAAAGATATATTTCGATATATATCATTTTGTAATCGTTAACATTCTTTCAATTAAATATTCTGCCAATGAAACGTTCCATACTAACTTGACGGTTGTCAATGAATGGGTAGAAGTTAACACTTCTAGCTCGTAAGCGGACACATGACAGCGCTATGTTAGTCTACTCGTGACCGCGGCCAATATAACATGGTCGAAACGTCGAGATAGTTAAAACAAATGATCTAAGTTTATCTAAATGATCGCGTTAATTCCTATCTCTTATAAAACATAAAGCATGTAGCGCGAAAGATTAAAAATTAATATTGATTGCTGTTATTTTTCGATCCACGTAACTTTAAGAAAATGTTCAATTTCACCAGTAGAAGATTATCTTAAAAAAAACCTAACAATTTCGATTTCACATCCTACCACATGACCACACAACATTTAATTTAGGTACATGATAAAAATGGAAGTTATCGCCGAAATATGTAAGTTGGCATTCATAGTTTGCCAAACTTATCTATCTAAACATGGAAGCTCTAGCGTACATGGTCCGTAATTTCTGTGGATTGATAGTGGCGTAGGAAGCAGAGTTCGCGGTCCGTCGCGGACTTGTTGTAGGCACCGCGTACTTGTGCCTCGTCTCTTCGGAGGATAGAGGGACCGAGAGCGGACCCTGACTTAATGAAATGGGAATGGAAGCTATTCGGACGGAACGGCTTTCTGGCAACGAACGAATTGTTGACTTACCGTGATCCAGATGCAAATTTCCATTGTTTATATCTTGCAAGGCAGCTAGTGGTTGACCATTCTTTGGTGACATCGTATTTGATAAGGCTGTTGAGGAACTCGGCGGTCTTCTAGAAGTTGTAGGTGTCTTAAAAGACACAGAATTCATGGGCATATATCGCTCGATTAATCTCGGTATCGACGAATTAGAAGGGGATTTTTTTAATGGTGTATTGGAAGGTAAGAGATGGCCGTTTCTTTTCCGCATAGTTGCATTTGAAGATGCAGTCGATGGTCTACCTGTATTCTCAGATGTAAAAGAATTGTTTGAAGGGGAACGAGTTTCGGTCTGACCCGGTAATATTGTAGGTGCAAGATACGTGCTAGGTAAATGTCTTCTATCTGGAGTCACATTTGATGAGGTACTCGAAGGGATACGACTACGACGTGGCAAAGTGCGAGTTATGAGAGTGGAGTTACGACCTGGTGGTAAATGACGGTTGTTTGATTGTTTCGGATTGAGATTTATTAATAGAGTGTTGTTATTCAAGGAGGCAGTTGAATGATCCGGTGATTGATGTACTGGCTCAGGGTCGGAGTCTGGTACGTTCAGAAGTAGACGGTGAGGTTCATGTGTTCGGCTACCGTCGGGTTGGTCGCGTCGTGTGGGGCTCCTTCCTGCCCGCTGTCCTGCACATAGTTATCATTAGACCGTAAAGAAATAATGACGTGTTGTGTATTTGTGGGCTACAATTATGAACAACATTAGGAAAATCATAGTATGTACATGGTGATGGTTATGGCATCCAGTATCTTTAGCTACTTCTAGGATAGGAATTTTTTAAAAATTCTTTGCACAGTTTCTGCACATATATTATTTTAGTATTTATGAGTCTTAAAATCAAACGCACATATTACTATTCTGCAATTAAAGTGCAAATAACTGTGTTAACTCAGGCAAATTACAAAACCTTCATTTTTATTTCAATATCGCAAACCAGGCCGAGATGGCGCCAGGCTAGGGCACGCCACGCCCGGCGGCCCCGCTGGTTTTTTTTTTTTTTTTATACCACTGTGGTGGCAAACAAGCATACGGCCCACCTGATGGTAAGCGGTTACCGTATCCTATGAACGCCTGCAATACCAGAGGTATTACGCGCGCGTTGCCGACCCTGAAGAAACCTCTTTACCCCCCTTTTGAAGAACCCCATGCTGTAGTCTCTCGGGAAAACCTCGGCAGGGAGCTCATTCCATAACCTGAGTGTTCGTGGGAGAAAGCATCTCTGAAACCGCGTTGTACGCGACCATTTAGGCTGTAAGGTATGAGGGTGAACTCCCTGTCGATGGCGAGCCGTACGATGATAGAAAGTGGCCGTAGGCATCATATTGAATAATTCCTCTGAGCACAATCCGTTGTATAAGCGGTAGAACACGCAGAGTGAAGCAAAATCTCTCCTGAGACTTAAGGGTTCAATACTGCTTGCAAGCATGGGATCATCGACAATTCTCATAGCTCGTCGTTGCACTGAGTCGAAGGGTTCAAGCTGGTATCTAGGTGCTCCCGCCCATAAGTGACAGCAATACTCCATATGGGGCCGGATTTGCGATTTGTAAAGTATTAATCGTTGATCCGGCGTGAAGTAATGCTTCGCTCTATTGAGCACACCAAGTTTTTTGGATGCCAGCTTCACCTTATCTTCGAGGTGGCTACGGAACTGTACGTCACTAGAGATGTCGACACCAAGGATCCCAATGCTTTTAGAGATGTTAAGAGACGTGCCTTGGAACTGTGGGGCCACAGCAAATGGGGTTTTCTTAGCGGTGAACGCGCAAGCTTGTGTCTTAGAGGGGTTAAATTGGACCAAGTTTTGTCGTCCCCAATCAGAGACTCTAGTTAGTGTTCTCTCGATTTCAGACACAAGCTGTTCACGATTGTTCTCCACGATGGAACGGGAGACATTGGTACGACCCGTATAAAGGGCATCCCCGGTGCTGTCATCCGCATAACAATGAATGCTACCGAAGGTTAACATATCATTAATATGCAGTAGAAACAGCGTTGGGGACAGCACAGAGCCCTGCGGGACGCCAGCGTTAATATCCATGCTATCGGAGCAGCAACCATCTACAACGGTTTTTATACGTCTGCCGGATAAAAAACTGGCGACCCATTTACAGAGGCTGTCGGGAAGTCCATAGTAGGGCAATTTCGATAGAAGACCCCGATGCCAGACCCGGTCAAGTGCCTTTGCAATATCAAGACCGACAGCGAGCGCCTCACCTTGACTCTCAATGGCTGATGCCCATCGGTGCGTAAGATATACCAAGAGGTCACCAGTTGAGCGACTATGGCGAAAGCCATATTGGCGGTCACTCAATAAATCGTGATCCTCTAGGTATTTTAACAGCTGTGCGTTAACTATACGCTCCATCACCTTAGAGAGAAGGGAAGCGATCGCAATCGGTCTGTAATTTGAAGGGTCCGACTTATCGCCCTTTTTAGGTACAGGATGTACAAGGGTGGTCTTCCATGTCGAAGGAAATTGCCCTGTGGAGTACGAGATCGTGAAGAGACGCGTTAGTACAGGACACAATTCCGGAGCACACTGCTTTAGGACCACTGCCGGTATACCGTCTGGCCCACTCGACTTATGAACATCTAAGGATAGTAACTCCCGCCGGACTTTACATTGTGTTATAGTAATTTCCGGCATGGAGCTTCCGCAACACAAGATGGTAGGTGGTATAGAATTACCTTCGTCCATAGTTGAGTTAGAGGCTAAGAGAATGCCAAATAAGTCGGCTTTCTCTTTAGCACTGTAGGCCAAGTTACCATTCGGTTTCCGAAGTGGTGGAAAAGACGACTGACAAAAGTTTCCTTGGGCAGCTTTAGCAAGCGACCAGAAAGCACGGTTACCAGAAGGAAGGCTTGATAGTCGCCTACCAATTCTGCCCACAAATTCAAAATTGGCTCTGGCAATTACTCTCTTACTGTACCTCGAAGCAGCATTTAATTTCCGCTTTGCATCACTGATTCCAGGATCAGAGTTAGTGCGAGCCGTAGTCCAAGCCTTGTATGCAGCTTGCTGAGCAAATCTGGCTTTCTTACAAGACCGGTTAAACCACGGACGCTTCTTTGATCCCATTGCCACTAGCGGGTTGGGGATAAATAGCTTCATACCTTCAATGATAGCCTCGCTAACGGCAATTGCGCAGTCGTTAGGATCATGTGATGCAAAACAGAGCCGCTTCCACGGGTACGATGCATAAAATTCTCGCAATCCATCCCAGTCTGCTGACTTATAGTGCCACACGCGACGTCGTCCAATAGGACGGGGTGGATCAGGTCGAGTGTTGGGGACATTAGCCCGGATAAGACAATGGTCGGATGAGCCATTTGGCGCATCCACTCTGACGGTGTATCCATCCGGGTGTGTTGTCAACAGAAGGTCCAGCAAGGAGCTTGTATGGTTCTCTATATCTGGTATTCTCGTTGGAGAATGAACCAGCTGAGAGAATCCATAGGTCAGAGCAAATTCATGAGCAGCTTTTCCCGCGCAGTCAGTGGACCGAGAACGAAGCCACTCGGAGTGGTGAGCATTAAAGTCTCCAAGTATCACTAACTCCGCAGAAGGGTACTGCTCGAGAACCTTATCAATCGTCGTTAGCAGGTGCTCAAAAAGACGGAAAGTGTCCAGATCACCGCTGTGAGACCTGTAAAGGCACGCGTAAATACGAGTGTGGCTCCCGTAATCCACACGTATCCATAATACTGACAGGTCTCTGTCTTCAAGGCCATGGAGACGGCGGTAACAGACATCCGTCCGGATATACATACAAACCCCGGCATGACGAGCAAATTTATGCTCGAGTTTGTAACCGGGATATAGTAAATAAGATGTATCAGCCGGACATGATATCTGCGTCTCGGTGAGGAATAACAGAGTCGGCTCCGCAGTTTCGAGGTGACAATGAATTGCGTTGATGTTAGAATGAATTCCTCTGATATTGCAGAAGTCCACTTTAAATGTGGATGAGGGCGCCGCTGTGTAACGTCTATTTTTTCTAGATCTGGCCATAAAGTATTAGGGTATTTGGAGGTTAATAGGGAAAGATTGTGCCGATATCAAAGAAACAAAGTGGTGTCCACTCCGTCCCTGCGCTAAACAGGTTGTGCAAATTGCCGACGCGGCGGCCGGAAGGGCCCCCGGTCCCCCCACTGATGTAGTAGCCGGGTCCACTCCGGTCTCTTCCTCCGGCACGACTACCACACCAGGGATTATGCACAGGCGGCGGTTCAGCCTCCCAGGGCGGAGATTAGGTAATCCCTGGGTTCGGGAACCCAACAACCTGCGGGCGGCCAGCGAGCAACCGTTTCACCGGGTCTCCCTGAACGCCGCGTCAGCACTTCGCGTCTGCCCAGCACAAAGACAGTATTAAAACACCTGGTCCCTCCGATATCGGCACAACCCCTCCCCAAGATGGAACTGGATACCTTACTCACCGCAGGAACACAACGCTATAAAAACAGCGTTGTTTGGCTGCGAACTTCTGCAAGGTGGAGGTCCTTCCCCAGGCGGGCGGTTCCGTTTATGAGCGAGAGTCCCGCTGTGCCCTACCTCTCTTAAATGGTCTCGTTGGTGACGGTACGGGAGCATGAACAGATCTAATGTAACCTTGTGTGGCGAGTGCGCGGGCGGGCCGGGCTCGTCCCAGCTGAGCTTCTTGACGCGCGCGGGGATGGTGGCGGAGGGCCACGCCACGCCCGAGCGGCCCGCGCTGCGCGCCTGCAGGTGGTCGCTCATCAGCGACACGCCGCCATCACCGCCGCCGCCGCCGCCGCCGCCGCCACCGCCACTCGACGGCGGCAGCGGCGCCACCTTGCTTTTCGGGAACCGCTGCGATTGTCGTGCTGTTGCACCTGTCAGTCAAAAGTTGCTTATATCAGTTTTTCACTTTGAAAACTTTTCGATTTTGTGGACCAATGTAGAGCGGATACGTGACTGCATGCTTTCGTTCAACGCATCGTAAATTTGTATATTGAGCACTGAAATTAAAACATCAAAAATTTATTTCATTTTTAGAAGTTGTGCTTGAGCTATACAGGCTATATCGGGTTGTACTCACTTCTAGAGCCGTGATCGTCTCGTAGGTCGAGGCTGGAGGAAGAGTTAGCGAGAATGGTGCTGGCGCCCGCTGACACGCTCAGTAGCGAGCCCGAGCCGCCCAGCGGCTGGCCACCAGCACCAACAGCACCACCAACACCGTCGGTGGTCGCCACTCGCGCCTTCTCATGCGTTACGAATCCACCGTTTTTGTTTGGTGCGCTGCTCGCTGCTTGCTTTGATCGTCGCCTTCTGTTAGAAACATGGCTTATTGTCTTCAATTAAATTTGTAACACTGAAAACCTATTAAATTGTTTAAAAGGCACTAAAACATTTCGAAAATAGTGTAGTTCTAGACCACCCAGAAAAGATAAAACAAAATGAGAATAATAACTAAATGAAATTCAAAAGAGGTATTTCAACATTTCACGAATCAGAGAAAGAGAATTTAAAGACTGAGTGCATTCACTAATATCAAAAGATCAAAAGAATGATGTGGCGCTGTGGCGCCAGCGCGGCCGCGAGCCGCGCACTGCAGTGTAGTGTAGTGTAGTGGAGTGTGGTGTGGTGTGGTGTGGTGTGGCGCGGTACTCACGCGCGGTATATGTAGGCGAGCAGCGCGCACACGAGCAGCGCCAGCAGCGCCAGCGCGGCCGCGAGCCGTGCACTGCAGTGTGGTGTAGTGTGGTGTGGTGTGGTGTGGTGTGGTGTGGCGCGGTACTCACGCGCGGTATATGTAGGCGAGCAGCGCGCACACGAGCAGCGCCAGCAGCGCCAGCGCGGCCGCGAGCCGTGCACTGCAGTGTGGTGTAGTGTGGTGTGGTGTGGTGTGGTGTGGTGTGGCGCGGTACTCACGCGCGGTATATGTAGGCGAGCAGCGCGCACACGAGCAGCGCCAGCAGCGCCAGCGCGGCCGCGAGCCGTGCACTGCAGTGTGGTGTAGTGTGGTGTGGTGTGGTGTGGTGTGGTGTGGCGCGGTACTCACGCGCGGTATATGTAGGCGAGCAGCGCGCACACGAGCAGCGCCAGCAGCGCCAGCGCGGCCGCGAGCCGTGCACTGCAGTGTGGTGTAGTGTGGTGTGGTGTGGTGTGGTGTGGTGTGGTGTGGCGCGGTACTCACGCGCGGTATATGTAGGCGAGCAGCGCGCACACGAGCAGCGCCAGCAGCGCCAGCGCGGCCGCGAGCCGTGCACTGCAGTGTGGTGTAGTGTGGTGTGGTGTGGTGTGGCGCGGTACTCACGCGCGGTATATGTAGGCGAGCAGCGCGCACACGAGCAGCGCCAGCAGCGCCAGCGCGGCCGCGAGCCGTGCACTGCAGTGTAGTGTAGTGTGGTGTGGTGTGGTGTGGTGTGGTGTGGTGTGGCGCGGTACTCACGCGCGGTATATGTAGGCGAGCAGCGCGCACACGAGCAGCGCCAGCAGCGCCAGCGCGGCCGCGAGCCGTGCACTGCAGTGTGGTGTAGTGTGGTGTGGTGTGGTGTGGTGTGGTGTGGTGTGGTGTGGTGTGGTGTGGCGCGGTACTCACGCGCGGTATATGTAGGCGAGCAGCGCGCACACGAGCAGCGCCAGCAGCGCCAGCGCGGCCGCGAGCCGTGCACTGCAGTGTGGTGTAGTGTGGTGTGGTGTGGTGTGGTGTGGTGTGGCGCGGTACTCACGCGCGGTATATGTAGGCGAGCAGCGCGCACACGAGCAGCGCCAGCAGCGCCAGCGCGGCCGCGAGCCGTGCACTGCAGTGTGGTGTAGTGTGGTGTGGTGTGGTGTGGTGTGGTGTGGCGCGGTACTCACGCGCGGTATATGTAGGCGAGCAGCGCGCACACGAGCAGCGCCAGCAGCGCCAGCGCGGCCGCGAGCCGTGCACTGCAGTGTGGTGTAGTGTGGTGTGGTGTGGTGTGGTGTGGTGTGGCGCGGTACTCACGCGCGGTATATGTAGGCGAGCAGCGCGCACGAGCAGCGCCAGCAGCGCCAGCGCGGCCGCGAGCCGTGCACTGCAGTGTGGTGTAGTGTGGTGTGGTGTGGTGTGGTGTGGTGTGGCGCGGTACTCACGCGCGGTATATGTAGGCGAGCAGCGCGCACACGAGCAGCGCCAGCAGCGCCAGCGCGGCCGCGAGCCGTGCACTGCAGTGTAGTGTAGTGTGGTGTGGTGTGGTGTGGTGTGGTGTGGCGCGGTACTCACGCGCGGTATATGTAGGCGAGCAGCGCGCACACGAGCAGCGCCAGCAGCGCCAGCGCGGCCGCGAGCCGTGCACTGCAGTGTGGTGTAGTGTGGTGTGGTGTGGTGTGGTGTGGTGTGGCGCGGTACTCACGCGCGGTATATGTAGGCGAGCAGCGCGCACACGAGCAGCGCCAGCAGCGCCAGCGCGGCCGCGAGCCGTGCACTGCAGTGTGGTGTAGTGTGGTGTGGTGTGGTGTGGTGTGGTGTGGCGCGGTACTCACGCGCGGTATATGTAGGCGAGCAGCGCGCACACGAGCAGCGCCAGCAGCGCCAGCGCGGCCGCGAGCCGTGCACTGCAGTGTAGTGTAGTGTGGTGTGGTGTGGTGTGGTGTGGTGTGGTGTGGCGCGGTACTCACGCGCGGTATATGTAGGCGAGCAGCGCGCACACGAGCAGCGCCAGCAGCGCCAGCGCGGCCGCGAGCCGTGCACTGCAGTGTGGTGTAGTGTGGTGTGGTGTGGTGTGGTGTGGTGTGGCGCGGTACTCACGCGCGGTATATGTAGGCGAGCAGCGCGAACACGAGCAGCGCCAGCAGCGCCAGCGCGGCCGCGAGCCGTGCACTGCAGTGTGGTGTAGTGTGGTGTGGTGTGGTGTGGCGCGGTACTCACGCGCGGTATATGTAGGCGAGCAGCGCGCACACGAGCAGCGCCAGCAGCGCCAGCGCGGCCGCGAGCCGTGCACTGCAGTGTAGTGTAGTGTGGTGTGGTGTGGTGTGGTGTGGTGTGGTGTGGCGCGGTACTCACGCGCGGTATATGTAGGCGAGCAGCGCGCACACGAGCAGCGCCAGCAGCGCCAGCGCGGCCGCGAGCCGTGCACTGCAGTGTGGTGTAGTGTGGTGTGGTGTGGTGTGGTGTGGTGTGGTGTGGTGTGGTGTGGCGCGGTACTCACGCGCGGTATATGTAGGCGAGCAGCGCGCACACGAGCAGCGCCAGCAGCGCCAGCGCGGCCGCGAGCCGTGCACTGCAGTGTAGGTGTAGTGTGGTGTGGTGTGGTGTGGTGTGGTGTGGCGCGGTACTCACGCGCGGTATATGTAGGCGAGCAGCGCGCACACGAGCAGCGCCAGCAGCGCCAGCGCGGCCGCGAGCCGTGCACTGCAGTGTGGTGTAGTGTGGTGTGGTGTGGTGTGGCGCGGTACTCACGCGCGGTATATGTAGGCGAGCAGCGCGCACACGAGCAGCGCCAGCAGCGCCAGCGCGGCCGCGAGCCGTGCACTGCAGTGTAGTGTAGTGTGGTGTGGTGTGGTGTGGTGTGGTGTGGTGTGGCGCGGTACTCACGCGCGGTATATGTAGGCGAGCAGCGCGCACACGAGCAGCGCCAGCAGCGCCAGCGCGGCCGCGAGCCGTGCACTGCAGTGTGGTGTAGTGTGGTGTGGTGTGGTGTGGCGCGGTACTCACGCGCGGTATATGTAGGCGAGCAGCGCGCACACGAGCAGCGCCAGCAGCGCCAGCGCGGCCGCGAAGGCGACGAGGACGCCGCCCGGTGCGCCAGCACGTACGCTACCCGCGCCTCGCACCAGCCGCTCACTCACGTGCACCAGCACCGGCACCGATGTCTGCAGGCATACACCAGAACAACATCACTACACACCACTTATTATTGAGTTTAGTACGATCTAGTCTTCAAATATATAGTGTACAAAATCTCCCTCTAATATCAGTCTGCCATGACCCTGTTATTTAAGCAGCAATAACATACCCTAGAGATACTCTAGGTACTCTAGATAGTCTAAGACCGACTCTGATTATGTATGTTGTGTGATGCGTACCTGTCTGGGCGGTGTACCCGAGTCTCTCGCGGTTGCGACCACGTGAAGCACCGATGTATTCAGTGTCGCTAAAGATTCCATACGCAGAAACATCTCACCCTGGTCGTTGATGTAGAACATGCTGCCGGTCACAGAAACATTTCAATATTACTTGTAAGTATTGAGAATTAGATACATATCTAAGATGTGATACTCGTAAACAAATGATTATCTGTATTGCAGCGTCAATCTTACAAAGATTATATTCGAATTATTTTCAATGAATTAATAGCATATTAAGGGGAACCTCCCCTGTTCCACTTCCCCTGAACCACCCATGTTCAGCAGTGAACAATTATTAAAGACTGATATAATATAATGATGATAATGAATTAACAATACAGCTGGGACAGAAGAAGGTACAATACTCATAGAAGTCATATAACATTGGTTATATCATAATGGATACTGCCACCCTCCTGTTACCAGCAGCAGCAAAAGCCTGTGCTCAGCAGCCCGGTATTAACCTGGCGTGCGGCTGCCGCACAGGCTGAGCACTACGCTGTCAGCCGCGTCCTCGTCACCAGCAGCAGCAGCAGCAGCACGTACTCTGCAGCCCGGTACTGACCTGGCGTGCGGCCCGCGCAAGCTGAGCGCCACGCTATCGGCCACGTCCTCGTCACCAGCAGCAGCAGCAGTACGTATCCTGCAGCCCGGTACTGACTTGGCGTGCGGCCCGCGCAGGCTGAGCGTCACGCTATCGGCCACGTCCTCGTCACCAGCAGCAGCAGCAGTACGTATCCTGCAGCCCGGTACTGACCTGGCGTGCGGCCCGCGCAGGCTGAGCGTCACGCTATCGGCCACGTCCTCGTCACCAGCAGCAGCAGCAGTACGTATCCTGCAGCCCGGTACTGACTTGGCGTGCGGCCCGCGCAGGCTGAGCGTCACGCTATCGGCCACGTCCTCGTCACCAGCAGCAGCAGCAGTACGTATCCTGCAGCCCGGTACTGACCTGGCGTGCGGCCCGCGCAGGCTGAGCGTCACGCTATCGGCCACGTCCTCGTCACCAGCAGCAGCAGCAGTACGTATCCTGCAGCCCGGTACTGACCTGGCGTGCGGCCCGCGCAGGCTGAGCGTCACGCTATCGGCCACGTCCTCGTCACCAGCAGCAGCAGCAGTACGTATCCTGCAGCCCGGTACTGACCTGGCGTGCGGCCCGCGCAGGCTGAGCGTCACGCTGTCGGCCGTGTCCCCATCGTGCACGTCGAGCCGTCCCACCCGCAGCAGGCCCGCGCTGCTGTCGCCGCCACCGGCAGCACCATCGGCACCATCAGCGCCGCCCTCCACGCGGAACTCGTACTGAGGGTAGCGGAACCGAGGCTCCCACTCGTTCACGTTCAGCACCGTTATGTTAATGGACGCCGTATCGTTCTGTAATAGTGAAAACGATAAAATAGTACAATCTGTAACAGAATAACGCTCAGGGAGTGCTGCAAACGGTATAGATATATAAGCTTCGAGTCACGAATTGGTTATAGACGGCAAATTCCGTAAGATATCAGTGTAAAAAGTCTAATAGTTTTTAATATTTATAGCGGCTTAATTGCTTTTAAACATCCAAAAAATTGGCTAAAGTTTTAGTTCACGACAACAGTATTCCATTCAGTATTCAGTAGAATGCATTCCATTCTCCGGGCATTTATCAGAAAAAGCTTGGAGATTGTTAATACCCTACTTGCCTTTTAACTTCTAATGACTCCTTTCATTTGCGAAAAGCAAAGGATGTACTTTCTTTACTTCACGCTTACTATGTTTTGCCTTACGCCAAGTACTTACAGCGACTCCATCCGTGACCATCACTTGGTAGAAGTACTGTTTCGTGGTCTCGTAGTCCAGTGCGCGCCGCAACAGTACTTCACCGTCGCTGTTGATCGCGAACTTCTCTAAGAAGTTACGATCTGATACGTAGAATTGGAGCGGACTCTGTGATATGTACAAAACACTTGTTATATTATACTTGCTATCTTTAGCAAGCTAAACATGGTGTAAAATATGTTCATTGTACAGTTTTATCTTCGAAATAATATCATGATTTTCTTTTATATGTGACAATGAATTGTAATTGCTGGTGAACTTGACAGACCACATAAAAAAGTTGTTAATTTACTGAACTAAATGTTATCTTGCGGAAGTTCATATTATTGGATATTTTGCAAAAAGTGCGTGAAGAAAATGGCAATCGGGGACTGGTGGTGAAATATAGATAGAATTTCTGGTAATAACGATCAATCTTCAAATGTTGGCAGTTACACAAGTACTTATGGTAATTAAATTAAACAAAAGAATTCTAATTGAATAACTAGCGAAAGTGGTTAATTATTGCTTATAAATATGAATGGCATGACAAATATTACAGTTTGTGACAACCTTAATATTGCAGGCGTTTATAGGCAATAGTGATCGTTTATTATCAGACGAGCTGTATGCTTGTATACTGTATGCGCTCTTCGTGGTATATATATTTACATTCAAAATTTTGATGATATGAGTAGTATCATGGGTGTAACAGTGTATATGGAATATGGTGTTTTCTTGTTGGTTACGTATATTAAGGTTAATGAGTTCTTTTATGTGTACAGTATATTTTATTTTAGTGAATGATAATGAAATGTTTGCCCCGCTTATGCTAAGAGTATACTCTGGCGGAGTACCAGTAAGGGATGACAGGTGAGGATGACAAGGCAGGTTAGTTAGTCCATCGTGATGAATACATCTGGAATTCAGTACGATAGCTTTTAGGGGGACCACGTGGAGGTGGGTTTGTTAGGGTATATTGCTAGCAATGAGTATAGCTTTATTTATAACTAACTTTTTATCAACTATTTCGTACGCGTGCGTAAACCAATAAAATAGATCACTTGTAGACGATTTGATATTGCTAGCCATAGAGTTGGTACTCCGCATTACTAACGATCCGTCCCCCCTGTGCAGTGTGTAGTGCGAGTAGTGCGTGGTGTGTGTAGTGTAGTGTAGTGTAGTGTAGTGCGGTGCGTGCAGTGTACTGACAGCGGCGGGCGCGCGCGGCGGCAGCGTGCGCAGCGCGGCCAGCACGGCGCCGGGCGGCGTGTCCTCGGCCGCCGCCGCCTCGTACGCGCGCTGTGCGAACCGTACCGGCCCCCCGCCCCCGCCCCCGCCGCCGCCGCCAGCCACCGACAGCGTGGCCAGCGCGTACCGGTCCGCGTTGTCCACCTGCGTCGCCTGCGCACACCGCGGAATGCACAATCAACTTCCCGCATCCCACGACCTCACCCGTACTCGTACCCTAACACTGAGTAGCCGGTAACCTTCCCCAAGAAACGACCTATCAAATACAAACATTATTACAAATTCGATCGTCACTGCAAAACTACTTCACAATTTAATCACAGCTCTACACTTTCCTAAATAAAGCTAACTGTGAGCTTAAACACTAACTTTTTATTATTAACATGAAACTATACTGTTCACTACACTATTAAATGAATACACTGCACCGAGTATTTTGAACTTTATTAATCATGTTAATAAAAAAAAAAAAAAACAAATCACTATTGTAATGGAACATTAGAATATATATCGCGATGCAATATTCACCTAACGCCATTTATGTGGTCAATAGTGAACTAATTTTGTTGCTTACCAAACATATACTATTATATTATCTGTGCCCATACTAAAAACATAATATGTACGATCCAATTGCTTTTATTTTAAACAATAACTACTATCCACAATCAATACGTCGTAAACAAAATCCAACAACCAATCTAAGTTTACTGATCCATAAAAAAATTATAATATTTAAAATATTTTTCCTTATATTACATAATCTTATAGTCGCAGGTACTACATGCTAATATTTTGAAACTAAATATTTTCGTTCCTTTATTTGTTTTCAACTTTACATGCAAAAACTTTGTGAGTAACTCATACAGCACAAATATAATACAATAGAACAGTTGCGAGCACCTTAATGACAATCGTAGCCGGTAGATGTCGTTCAGCGAGCAACCGAGCGGTGACAACGACGCGGGCGGTGTCGCGGTCGACAGCGACCAAGTCGCGGTTGTCGCCGGACGTCGAGTAGTACAGCGGGGCGTTAATGCCCACGTCCTGGTCCACCGCCGATATTGGACCCGGAGACGTCTCTAGGATTGTGCCCTGGAAGAATCACCATCCAAATAAGTAATAAAACCAATTTCATTCCTAAAAATTATCCGAATTGATTTAGAATTAAGAACATGGAAACAGATAAATATCGTTAAAACAAATTGTGACAACTTTCTTGTCTTAAACCGGTTGAAAATTAAACACAGGTATAAAAAGTGAAGACGGTGAGTCCCGTCATAGTATACGCCACCCCTTCCTTACCCGTGGGTGTCATATGAGATGACTAAGGTAACTTAATGTTCGAGAGAAGGTAAGTAGTAGCATCCTTTTTAAAATATCACCAAAACCTAACGGCAGTTGCCAACCCACCTGCCAAGAATGGCAATTACTGGCAAAACCACCCAATAGGCCCTATGTTCAACAATGGACAGTTAACTGCTGATATAATAATGATAAATTATATGCGTAAAATGGAAAATGTATATGTTTATATTGACAAATCCAAAACACCAAATGAAAATTTAAAAATTGTGGAAAAGCCTGAAAAATCGACAAATCAAAATAAAAAAAGCACAATTTGAAGAATTGACAACTGACAGAGATTAATGTTGTCAAGTGGCGACTTCATACAATCGATCTTGGATAAGGCTATTTTGGCAATAAATAATTTAATTATGGACACAATGATGATAATATTACCTCTTGCGCGTCATCTGGTAGTATCGCAGTGTAATGATCATGTGTAAACTTGGGGTTCTGGTCATCTGCGTCCAAAACTTCCACATACAATTGCGTGTCGTTGTACAGCGGCGGGGTCCCGTGATCCTGAGCTCGTAGTGTCACCGTGAAGTTGCTGAGTGTCTCATAATCCAGAGGTTTCTTTACCATCAGCACGCTATCTAGCTCGTTGGCGAAACCGAAATATTCCTGTGAAATTATGTTTTTATAAGATTTTATAGAAATAGTAAGCAAGCTATAAAAACTTACTCGTATAATACCTAATAAAAAGTCGCAGTCGTTATTTATGGACACCAAGAACAGCACCATCACATTGCAGACTGCAATGTGATGACCAAGATATTTTTCAGCAATTCCTAAGAATTAAGGTGTTATACTTTTATACTTTGTAGTTTCACTGATATATCTACTTTTCAAACCAAAACAAAACTGTCTATTTATAGGTCAATACATAAATAAACTTTTATTTTATTATATGAGTAACACGACATGTGACCACACCATCCTAAGCGAACACAGAGACAACAAGGTCCATGAATGCGATCAACCGAAAAGAGAATTTACTCTCAACGGTTGGCCGTATTAGCTTACTAAGTTCTTGTTCTGTTTGAAGAATCTGACGTCATAGGACAAAAGAAACAAGTCTCGGGAAAGTCCATTTGTACAGATGTAGTGGTGGGTGTGTGCGGTGTGCGGTGTGCGGTGTGCGGTGTGCGGTGTGCGGTGCGTGGTGTATACAGTGTGCGGTGTGCACGTACGCTGTGCGGGCCGGGCAGCACGGAGTAGTGTATGGTGGCGTGCGGGCCGGGCTGGTCGGCGTCGGAGGCAGATGTAGTGGTGGGTGTGTGCGGTGTGCGGTGTGCGGTGTGCGGTGTGCGGTGTGCGGTGCGTGGTGTATACAGTGTGCGGTGTGCACGTACGCTGTGCGGGCCGGGCAGCACGGAGTAGTGTATGGTGGCGTGCGGGCCGGGCTGGTCGGCGTCGGAGGCAGATGTAGTGGTGGGTGTGTGCGGTGTGCGGTGTGCGGTGTGCGGTGCGTGGTGTATACAGTGTGCGGTGTGCACGTACGCTGTGCGGGCCGGGCAGCACGGAGTAGTGTATGGTGGCGTGCGGGCCGGGCTGGTCGGCGTCGGAGGCAGATGTAGTGGTGGGTGTGTGCGGTGTGCGGTGTGCGGTGTGCGGTGCGTGGTGTATACAGTGTGCGGTGTGCACGTACGCTGTGCGGGCCGGGCAGCACGGAGTAGTGTATGGTGGCGTGCGGGCCGGGCTGGTCGGCGTCGGAGGCAGATGTAGTGGTGGGTGTGTGCGGTGTGCGGTGTGCGGTGTGCGGTGCGTGGTGTATACAGTGTGCGGTGTGCACGTACGCTGTGCGGGCCGGGCAGCACGGAGTAGTGTATGGTGGCGTGCGGGCCGGGCTGGTCGGCGTCGGAGGCAGATGTAGTGGTGGGTGTGTGCGGTGTGCGGTGTGCGGTGTGCGGTGCGTGGTGTATACAGTGTGCGGTGTGCACGTACGCTGTGCGGGCCGGGCAGCACGGAGTAGTGTATGGTGGCGTGCGGGCCGGGCTGGTCGGCGTCGGAGGCAGATGTAGTGGTGTGCGGTGTGTGCGGTGTGCGGTGTGCGGTGTGCGGTGCGTGGTGTATACAGTGTGCGGTGTGCACGTACGCTGTGCGGGCCGGGCAGCACGGAGTAGTGTATGGTGGCGTGCGGGCCGGGCTGGTCGGCGTCGGAGGCAGATGTAGTGGTGGGTGTGTGCGGTGTGCGGTGTGCGGTGTGCGGTGTGCGGTGTGCGGTGCGTGGTGTATACAGTGTGCGGTGTGCACGTACGCTGTGCGGGCCGGGCAGCACGGAGTAGTGTATGGTGGCGTGCGGGCCGGGCTGGTCGGCGTCGGAGGCAGATGTAGTGGTGGGTGTGTGCGGTGTGCGGTGTGCGGTGTGCGGTGCGTGGTGTATACAGTGTGCGGTGTGCACGTACGCTGTGCGGGCCGGGCAGCACGGAGTAGTGTATGGTGGCGTGCGGGCCGGGCTGGTCGGCGTCGGAGGCAGATGTAGTGGTGGGTGTGTGCGGTGTGCGGTGTGCGGTGTGCGGTGCGTGGTGTATACAGTGTGCGGTGTGCACGTACGCTGTGCGGGCCGGGCAGCACGGAGTAGTGTATGGTGGCGTGCGGGCCGGGCTGGTCGGCGTCGGAGGCAGATGTAGTGGTGGGTGTGTGCGGTGTGCGGTGTGCGGTGTGCGGTGTGCGGTGTGCGGTGCGTGGTGTATACAGTGTGCGGTGTGCACGTACGCTGTGCGGGCCGGGCAGCACGGAGTAGTGTATGGTGGCGTGCGGGCCGGGCTGGTCGGCGTCGGAGGCAGATGTAGTGGTGGGTGTGTGCGGTGTGCGGTGTGCGGTGTGCGGTGTGCGGTGTGCGGTGCGTGGTGTATACAGTGTGCGGTGTGCACGTACGCTGTGCGGGCCGGGCAGCACGGAGTAGTGTATGGTGGCGTGCGGGCCGGGCTGGTCGGCGTCGGAGGCAGATGTAGTGGTGGGTGTGTGCGGTGTGCGGTGTGCGGTGTGCGGTGTGCGGTGTGCGGTGCGTGGTGTATACAGTGTGCGGTGTGCACGTACGCTGTGCGGGCCGGGCAGCACGGAGTAGTGTATGGTGGCGTGCGGGCCGGGCTGGTCGGCGTCGGAGGCAGATGTAGTGGTGGGTGTGTGCGGTGTGCGGTGTGCGGTGTGCGGTGTGCGGTGTGCGGTGCGTGGTGTATACAGTGTGCGGTGTGCACGTACGCTGTGCGGGCCGGGCAGCACGGAGTAGTGTATGGTGGCGTGCGGGCCGGGCTGGTCGGCGTCGGAGGCAGATGTAGTGGTGGGTGTGTGCGGTGTGCGGTGTGCGGTGTGCGGTGCGTGGTGTATACAGTGTGCGGTGTGCACGTACGCTGTGCGGGCCGGGCAGCACGGAGTAGTGTATGGTGGCGTGCGGGCCGGGCTGGTCGGCGTCGGAGGCAGATGTAGTGGTGGGTGTGTGCGGTGTGCGGTGTGCGGTGTGCGGTGTGCGGTGTGCGGTGCGTGGTGTATACAGTGTGCGGTGTGCACGTACGCTGTGCGGGCCGGGCAGCACGGAGTAGTGTATGGTGGCGTGCGGGCCGGGCTGGTCGGCGTCGGAGGCAGATGTAGTGGTGGGTGTGTGCGGTGTGCGGTGTGCGGTGTGCGGTGTGCGGTGTGCGGTGCGTGGTGTATACAGTGTGCGGTGTGCACGTACGCTGTGCGGGCCGGGCAGCACGGAGTAGTGTATGGTGGCGTGCGGGCCGGGCTGGTCGGCGTCGGAGGCAGATGTAGTGGTGGGTGTGTGCGGTGTGCGGTGTGCGGTGTGCGGTGTGCGGTGTGCGGTGCGTGGTGTATACAGTGTGCGGTGTGCACGTACGCTGTGCGGGCCGGGCAGCACGGAGTAGTGTATGGTGGCGTGCGGGCCGGGCTGGTCGGCGTCGGAGGCCCGCAGCGCGGGCAGCACGCGCGACCCGACGCCCGTCAGCTCCGACAGCCGCACGCGGTACGGCGCGCCCGCCCACGCCGGCGCGTTGTCGTTCACATCCCACACGCGGATTGACACCGGAATCACGAAACTCTGCAACCACATCGCATTTTCTTATTACATGCTACGGATGCAACGTGACGTTGGTACTTCCTCCACAGTCAGCTTCCGTGAGGAATACTCAAGCTGTACCAACTCCATGATTTAATATTGGATCCAAGTGATCATAAAATCCTCTACTGACTAACATGTTATTTGATCTAGAGGTTGCACGTAAAGAGAGATCAACTCTACTTATCGTATGCCCAATAGTATCATATGTAGGTATAGACACGTAAAAGTTACAGGTTTTTAAAAACCTATCTGGATATCTGAAACAAAGATAACTACAGAAAAACTATTGGATGTATTTTAAATAATAATTATCCTCTAATGGAAATAAATGCCGCTACTAAAATCGTGGCAACTACTGACAAAAAGTCTCAAGAGGAAGGCTTATGTTCTACCAGGCTACCAGTGGACAGTTAAAGGCTGATGTAATGATGATGAATGGTAATAAGCTAACGACATAACTTTAAAGAACTAACTATCAGAGAAATTAAAAATTTTCGGTCTTCGAGACGATGTATTTTTATTAAATTGCATATTAATTTAAAAGAAATAATTGTGTGATGAGAGTTAGTGGTTGGTTGGTGAGGTACCGGGTCGGTGGTGCGGCGGCGGTCGCACCGTACGTTGACGTACACGTTGGAAGGGCCGCGGTTCTCCTCGCGATCGAGCGCGCGCAGCAGCGTCAGGTTCTTGGTACCGGGCGCGATGCCCACCGCCGCCTCGCGCTCTTGCAGCCGCAGGGTTATGTCGCCGCTATCGCTCGGGTCGCCGTTCACACTCAGTGTTCCTAATTAATACATCACATAATTAAAAATATACTCAGGCAGGTTGATGCCCTTACGGATTGCATGGACGTCAACCTGAAAACCATCGTGGTAAATTTCTAGTAAATGCATCACGATGGACCGACTGACTTCATCCTCACGTATCCTCACTGGTACCTTGCTAGCACACACCAATAATAGCGCAAGCGAGGATACTGTTTACTACCAAAGGACAATTTTGTACAATATGGTCTGCTTTTTAGATTCCTTTAAATCCTGCTGTCAAACAATTTGCTTGCAATTTGCAGCACGTAATGCCGCGTTCTCTGTCGACAGCCAATCTAATGATAACCGTCGCCTATAAGAGGAAAGGAATTGCTAGTAATGGGGTCAAATAGCCCCATTACTAGCAACATACCCTGTCAGGCTAACCTCTACGTGGTTCCCCCTGGAAACCATCGTGGTTAATTCTAATTGAATTCGTCAGGATGGACTAACTGACCTGCTTTTATCCTCATTAGTCATCTATCACTGATGCCCCGCCAGTGTATACCGACAGCGCTATAAATATTATACCACTATAGAGGCCGGAAAGGGATTGTTAGTAATGACTAAAAATCTCATTGCTAGCAATATACCTAACTAGGTCAACCTCCACGCAGTTTCCCCTGGAAATTATCATGATTAATTCTTCTTCATGATGAATTCATCATGATAAGCTAACTGGCCTGTTTTCATTCTCATCTATCACCCTTCACTGGTGTTCCGCCAGCGTATCCCGTTAGCGCAAGCGGGGTTACCATACCATTTTCACTCATAAAAAAACACCACTATGGACATAACAGATTTCACTCAGACTTTGCTACGCATCATGCAGTGCAATTCTTGAGAACTATAGCTAATTTTAGAGTACTTTGTATGAAAACTCCTCATGGGTTATTGAAAAATGCTAAAAAAATAACAGAGAAATTAAATAGCGTACGTATATAGTATGACTCAAGATGTAAAGATTAGCATAGACCGAGTGATGCTTTTGTTTCAAGCGTTCATGGGTTGCGGTGACAGATAATTATCATTAGGTAGACCGTTTGATTGTTGATCTAGTTTTTTTTTTAATAACTAGGCACAGTTATAAAAGAGAGACTGCTACCTAATTCCCTAATTATCACATTATTTTACATTACAAAATAATAAAAAAATACAAAGTAGATCTGAGAGTTATTTATTTATTTAATATATCCTGTATTAAAGAATCAATTTTTATAATTTAGGTGAAAATACATAATTAAAATTGAATTTCTGTGTACACCCCGGCATAGAATAGATTACCCCTTCCTGTACCGTGAGTGTTGTAAGAGGTGCCTAAGGGAGAGAGGGAAATGGGCAGCAGCGTTCCTTTTAAAACATCTCTAAAGCCGCCTGCTAACTACTACTGGCAAAACCCCCCAACGGGGAGGCTTATACTCAATGGAGAATTAAAGTCTGAAAACAAAAAAAAAACAAACAACAAAAAAACTCTGAAAACAACAATGTAAGTAATAAAATTTCTGTCATTAAAAAATATCTCACAGGCATTGACCGCAGCCGTCTTAAATTACGAAGATATAATATTCCGAATGTTCCTAAACAAGAAACAGAAGCTGCGAGGCTTATATAGACACGTTTTTTTTTTTTTTTTTATAGAACTTAGAATGGCAAACAAGCTGACGGCCCACCTGATGGAAAACGTAAAACGTAATTGTATCGTATTGCATCTTACATTACATGTCAAATGTCCTAATATTAATTTCGGTAATACAAGTCGGAAACAGTAACTGCGTGAGAACTATATTTGATACATGTTAGATAGTCTTTGTAACTATGACTGTATATTGGGCGTGTACAAATGGTTACACCAATTTCAATGCAGTTTTAATTTTTCTTATACAATTTAAAATATCAATCAAGCTAATGGCCCACCTGATGGAAAGTGGAACCATCGCCTATAGACATGAGCAGTAACCATGGACATAACAGAGTATACTATTTCGCCCATGACACACCTCATGCGTTGCTATTCCTGAGGACTCAGGTATTATTATGCTGATACTAAATGTACCTACCTACTACAGAATGTCCTTATAAACAACGTTTACAACTTTTTTATCATTGGACAACACAAACATTATAAAGTGCTATAGGACCAAGTGCGGCCTTCGACGCTATTGTATAGGCACGCGCCGCCAGCCAGGCCGGTACCGCCGCACCGTTATGCCCCTGCATTTTAAATCTGTAATATCTTCGGAAATATTCATTTAAATTACATGCTGTAAAGGGCCATGTTTGTTTGCGATCTCAAATTCACAATACGACGCAAATGCCTACATAAAGTATATGTACTCGTATACTTATGAAAGCCGTGTCTTTAGAGTCTCAAGCATATCAAAGCCAAAACAACAGCCAAAACCGATATATGTCGATAAGACACTTGAAATTTTCAATATTTTAATAATTACTCCTATTAGGGCATACAGATTTGTGAAGGGCTTTTCATAATTTCTTCAGGTAAATGAAATTCGAATGGAAATATAAACTTGTGTGGTCAAAGATACGTAGAATAGCTACTTCAAAAATAAACAAAGTATATATACGGCGGCAGCGGCAGGTGCAGACAATATTTTTACGGATAAAAACTTGTCGGTAACCGCATTCAAAGTAACCGCAAATTTAACCGTCATGTCAAGATAATAGATTTCATTTTAAAACTTTCCACGTCTCAAAAAGGCATCGCCCGCATTTTTAGAATGTAGTATTGTAGTTGCGACCACTGCAGCATAAAACTTGGAGGGCATTAAGTTATTCCAAAGTTATCTAATGTAATGATGAAACGTTATGTTGTGATCACCAACTTATTTGGCAAGTTACGTTTTTATGCAAGTGAATTAGTAAAGCTGCTGACTCAGCTCATGGGAATTATAACCGTCACCTATAGACATGAAGAGTACCATGGATATTATAGAATAAACTGTGATACCCATAATTTACATTTCAAAGGTTGCCATTTCTGAAGATTAAGGTGTTTTTACGTGCTTTTACTACCTAGCTGAAAGAAGGAGGAAAGGATTGTTAGTAATGCAGACTGCCAGCCCTATTGTTAGCAGTGTACCTTGTCAAATCGACCTCTACGCGGTGCCTCCTGGAAACCATCGTGTTGAGTTCCAGGTGTATTTTTTTTATGGGTGAAAATGGTATGGTAACCCCGCCTGCGCTAACGGGATACGCTGGCGGAGCACCAGTGAAGGGTGATAGATGAGAATGAAAACAGGCCAGTTAGCCCATCATGATGAATTCATCAGGAATTAACCAGTTGTTAGTTTCCAGGGAGAACCGCGTGGAGTTCGACCTGATAGGGTATATTGCTAGCAATGGGTTCATTAAACCCAATTACTAACAATGCCCTTCCCGCCATATGTATATATTATAAGTTGGTCTTTCTTTATTCTTTATTCTTTATTGTACACAAAACATACTGGTAATTACAATTCATTATAAACATAATGTACAAAGGCGAGCTTATCTCTAATAAGAGATTTCTTCCAGCAAAACCTTTCCATGTTAATGTGTTATTTTATAAATAAAAATAGGCAGTCATACGATCTGCATATATTGCATAAACGCATAAGTTATGTATACACAAAGAATAATACAAACTACACATTATAAATTACATAAAATACCCTGTAAACATACACATATATTTACACAAACATACATATACACATACATATATATACACATATAAACATATATAAATATACATACACATATACATAATACGTCAGCATAGTGATAAGTAATGCTCTCTTAGACGACGCTTAAACATGCCTATACTTGCCGATTCCCTTATTTCGGATGGCAGACTATTCCATAGTCGAATGGATATAACTGTAAAGGAATTCCCAAAAGCCTGAGTATGATGTGGTGGAGTTCTTAGAAGTAATCGTGTCTGAGGGCGAAGTGGTTTATCTCTTGAATATAAATATTCATAACGCTCGCGGAGATAACAAGGAATGGAGGGATTATGCAAGATATTGTAAAGAAGCGTCAGTATATGGACATTCAATCGAAAACGTGAAGGTAACCATTTCAATTCTTTTCGATATTTGGAGACATGATCAAACTTACGCAAACCATAAACGAAACGAATGCATAAATTTTGTAGACGGTCAATTTTAGAAAATAACTCTGAAGTGGCGTCAAGAAAACATACATCTGCATAATCCATAAGGGGAAATAATAATGTTTGGGCTAAATTGACCTTTGTTTTAATAGGTAGAAAATTTTGTAGACGTCTGAGTGAGTGAACAGTCGCATGTACTTTTTTACTTATCTGGTTTACGTGAGACGTCCAGGAAAGATTTCTGTCAAAAAGTACGCCCAGATTTTTAACGACATTTGTATATGATATTATTGTCCCCTCATACACCACAGGTGGAACAGTCATACGATCTAATAAATCTGTCATGTATCTGCTTCCGATAATAATAACTTGTGATTTTGTTGGATTCACTAATAGACCATATGCATTTGCCCATCTTGAAATGTTTACCAGATCATGATTAATCAAGTCTATAGCAGTACCGATATCACAAATGTCAAAAAAACTGTACAGCTGCAAGTCATCTGCGTATAGATGGAAGTAGGATGAAAAACGTCCTGCCAAGGAATTAATGAAAATAGAAAATAGAAGTGGTGACAGGACGCCACCCTGTGGAACGCCGGCAACAAGACCACACCAAGGTCTTGTTGTAAAATGTTGAATTAGATTAAAATACAGTCCGTTTGGTCACAAACAATATTTAACCTTCGATGCACAAAATGAGGTGTTGTTTGATGGGTCTATCTGTCTGTTTCAGGTACGTACCAATAATGCTGCCCACGGGGAGGTCCTCGCTGACGAAGAAGCTCTCCACCGCGCCGCCGTTCATCAAGTAGCACCGGCTGTCCTGGATAGCTGCAAAGGCCATTATTTATTTATTTTACAGTTTTATTGCACCATTTATAAAATAAATACAGTTTATTTTAATGAGCAGTGATACGAAAGGCGACCTTATTATTATGACATGAAGTTATAATCTTACAAGTACACTTTACAAAATAGAAACTACAATGCTGGCAAAATTAATATTGACAAGATTTTTTTTGATGGGTGAAAATGGTATGGTAACTCCGCCTGCGCTAACGGGATACGCTGGCGGAGCACCAGTGAAGGGTGATAGATGAGAATGAAAACAGGCCAGTTAGCCCATCATGATGAATTCATCAGGAATTAACCATGATAGTTTCCAGGAAGAACCGCGTGGAGGTCGACCTGGTTGGATATATTGCTAGCAATGGGATTCTCAGTCTCTATTACTAACAATCCCTTTCCCCCACCATTAGTCATCTGTTATATCTACAGTTCCTTATGTATTTAGAGCGCAATTAAACCAATCCAATATCCAGGGGAAAAGGTTGTTAGTAATGGGGTCTAAGTCCCATTGGCAAAAATGTAGCATGCCAGGTCGACTTCCACACGGTCGCCCCAGGTAAACATCATCAGGGAGTTCAACAAAATGCACCTACCAATTTGTCTTCTTCTTTGACTGAATATTGAAAATTAAGGAGGAATTAAAAAGCCCACCTTAAGCAAATCACAATAGAATTTACTTTACATAACTTGCTTTTTACGCTGAAAACGGGATATTAACGAACTTATTAATTTAAATGGTATTATTAACTCTCCAGTATTCACTGAGTTTCTCCAGACTCTAGAGGAACACCAGTGAGTACTGGAGTCTAAGGGGTCTTTAAAGTCTAGAGCGGTGTTTCCCAACGTGGAGCCCACGCCCCACAGGGAGGCAATTTGATAGTTATGAGGAGGCGGGGCAATTAAAAAATGGACTCGAAGCGATTTTAACCCTCTTGCTCCGGGCCATTTAAATGCAATGCTACAAGTAGATGCTGTAAATATTTATTACATATAATTTCGTTTGACATTACCAAAATATCGACTGGGCGATTAGAGTCGTCAAGTAAACTTTGTCGGGAAAAATTATGTATGGGGGTAAAAAAATTTTAGAAATGTGCAGGTGGGGCATGGCACAAAAAAGGTCTTTTTTTTAAATGGATGATTATGGAATGGTAACCCCACCCGCGCTATCGATATACACCGGCTGGGCACCAGTGAAGAATGATAGGTGAGAATGAAGCAGGTCAGTTAGCCCATCGTGACGAATTCAACAAGAATTGTTCAAGATGGTTTCCAGGGGGAACCACGTGGAGGTCGACCTAATAAGGTATATTGCTAGCAATGGGCTGTCAAACTCCATTGCTAACAATCCTTTTCCCCCTCACAAAAAAGGTCAGGAAACACTGGTCTAGAGTATACCAATAGCGAAGACGAAGTTCTACCATTCTGTTTTCGTTTCGCAAAAAAAAAGAATCCTTTAGTACTATGCAACTATCCACACTATATACATTTAACTTGAAATGTTGGACAAGGTTAAGAAATGAAACGGAAAATAGCTAGTAGGAAATAATGTAACAGCGATATAGGTACATAAATATTAATCAAATCAATGTTAATACATTTACACAGCATTGTAGGCATCAATAAGCTTAATAGTGGCCGAAGCAGGTCACCGTATATTAATCCAGCACTTATCTATCCAGGACAAAGGGAGAGGTGGTGGAGCGGCGGTGGGGAGCCGCCCGCTGAAGGGAAATTACCGTTTGCCACTATTGTTTAGGATGTTAAAGCAAAACGAATTGGAACGGTCATTGTACCGATATATTACCAACGTGGACAACCCTATTTTAATGAATTAAATATGAGGGCATTAATATCCCCGGCCGTTTCCGAATCGTTCGCTTGATTTTGTGTAGTTTTATGCAAGACTAGCGGCCCGTCCTGGCATCGCACGGGTGGACATTTTTAAATTTTAAAAAGTGGGTATTAAGGCTGCACACGCGATGGAAGCTTAAAAATGGAGTAACTTCTCCCGTTTTCCCAACATTTCCGTTCACTGTTCTGCTCCTATTGATCGTAGCGTGTTGAAAAGTATACTATAACCTGCCCAGAAGTATAAAGAATAATTGTACCAAGTTTCGTTAAAATCCATCGAGTAGTTTTTGTTTCTATAAGGAACAGACAGACAGATAAAAATTTTACTGATTGCATTTTTGGCATCAGTATCGATCACTAATCACCGCCTGATAGTTATTTTGGAAATATATTTTTAATGTACAGAATTGACCTCTCTACAGATTTGTTATAAGTATAGACTCTAGACTTATGTGTGAATTAAAATTAATTATTGTTGATTTATAGAAATTGACTGATATAATTTAACTGAAACATGTTAAAGGCCTAAAAGTATATTATTTATATAAAGAGTCCATTAAAATAGAGATCAATTAGATACAGATTAGATTAATGGACAAATGAAATATTAATAGTAAATTGAGCGATGTAAGATACAAAATGACTCTTACCTGGTACAGGTCCAATGTTAGATAGACCTAAAGTATGATACATTGATATATATATATATATATATATATATATATATATATATATATATATATATATATATATATATATATATATTGTAAATTTGTGGAAGATTTATTTCTTCCTTTACCATTTGTCATAAAAATTTGTTATAAATTTTTATGACAATAAATTATATGTAGGCACCTACTCGTATAAAAACACGATGTGAAACGACTATAGTGATAAGTATAAGCGTAAAAATTTGAAAATTATAAATGCAATACATAGGCCGTGTACTAAAAAACCAAAGCTTGATATAATAACAAAGGCAATTTTAATAATAGATATCTCTGTTTTCGTATAATAAATGAATACAATCTTGACTGTTATGTTTTTTTATGCTTTTTAGAATGGCAAACAAACTGACGGCCCACCTGATGGAAAGTGGTAACCATCGCCTACAGGCATGAGCAGTACCATGGACATAACAGAATATACTGTTTCGCCCTTGATACCCCCCATGCGTTGCCATTCCTGAGGACTCAGGTGTTATTCCTCTGTACCCTGTAAATTCACTGCCATATCCCACTCTTCAAATCGAAACACAGCATGCATGCATGCAACACAACCCCGCGGTAGAAACACGAATGGGACAGTGGTGCTCAAGCAAACGATTTTGTTACAAAGTCTCCCTCTGGTAAATCTATCTCTTTCTAGATAATGAAACTAACACTGGATTTGCTCATATTTGGTTCGCTATGTATATTAAATCGAAGATGGCAGAAGGAGCGCAATTTTAAATTTAAATTGTTTGTTATGATTATCCTGCATTGATTCATGGATGTTTCCATATGTATATATTGTATACAAGTGTTGCGTTTTTGCATGCACGTTGAAGGTGAAGATTTATGACACATGTAAGTATCCAGTCGACTTTAAATTGTGCAAAAAACGCTGTTTATTGAAGAGAAACCGCGGCGGAGCGTGAAGCGCAAACAGTACTACATGTTAGGTTAACAACAACGCACTTGTACTTCATCCATTTTGATATATTATTGATGACAGTTCTCTTATAATATAAATAATAATGTCCAAATGCGTCGTGATAGGATTTATTTATTTACTATCAGCTGTTAATTGCAACTTCAACCGCCAGAACCAGAGACTGGGAATATATTGATTTCCTGGCATTAAAAATTTAATCAAAAATTAAACATAGTTGGTGCAGGTTTCAAATTTTTGATATAACTTATTAGTAGATGATATACATGTATTGGAGGAGAGACGTGGAAGGGATTGTTAGTACTGGGAAACATTTTTTTGATGAGTGAAAATGGAATGGTAAACCCGCGTGGGATATGGCGTGAATTTACAGGGTACAGAGAAATAACACCTGAGTCCTCAGGAATGGCAACGCATGGGGAGTATCAAGGGCGAAACAGTATATTCTGTTATGTTATGACATAACAGAGTATACTGTTTTTTACAACAGAATATCAGTGTTTTGCTCTTTAAAGGGCAAAGCGATATACTGAGTTGTGACCATTTTGTGTTACTATGGCACAGGCATGAAGGAAGGGAAAGAAAGCAAATTGTTAGTTTATATATTTTGTTTTTTTTTTTTGTTTTGTTGCTTTTTTATTTTCATTCTTTTATCTCTTTTACTGTGTATTATGTGTATGTTTTTTTATTGTAATTTGTGTGCTGTAAGTAATGTAAATAAATTATCTATCTATCTACTGACTCTGTTATGTCCATGGTACTGCTCATGTCTATAGGCGACGTTTCCCACTTTCCATCAGGTGGGCCGTCAGCTTGTTTACCATTCTATGTTGCATAAAAAAATATATATAATATTTTAGTGATTGGAGAGACTATCAACATATTCTGTCCAATCGACCACAAAAGAAAAAACATTAGTAAAACATTAGTACTGACCCGTAAAAGCGGTTATTAACAAATTATAAATTGTTTGCAATTATCCTTTCACACAGCGAATAAAACTGAAGGCATTGATGTATTTTTTTTTAGTAAAATTACTTGGTAGAGTACACAAATATAACGGTAATATCACGCTAGACATGACGTTACGGTGCAATAGTGTTTTAATGTAACAAAGCAATAGAGATGTCACGAAAAAACAAAGAGAAAAAAGAAAAAGTGTTACGTGCGTATATTTATAATTTCTTTTAAGATACTTACTATATACCACAGAATATATTTAATAGACAAAGTAAAGGTTATTTAAAAATTAAAGTTAACCATAAGGTTTACTAGCCAGTAATTTTGTTGGAATGACAACGAAATAATTTTATATGTATAAGTAGATGAATTGGTACAAGTACTGAACAAGGAAGTTACAAGTGATTCAAACAACAAACAGTTAGATCCGGAACCCAAAATGGAAACTTTTATAGCGAATCCCTATTGTAGATAAATATTGAAATATAATAAAATTTCTTACGAGATATAGAAAG